GCCGTATAGTAAGCGGTGGGGCGCGGATGGATCCTCTCAGCTGTACAGTAACTGGCGTCTTTCAACTTGTTCGTAAGCTTTTGTTGCGTATATAAGAATATTGGCCTGCTCAAAGGCGCTGAGATAGAAAGTTTAGATGGGTTCAGGCTGGTCCTAGATCAAAATCCCGTCGAGAACCGACGTCATCGGGTGACCGGAGCGGCGGAGAACCAGAGAGAGTCCGCAAAAGAAAAACATGTGACACCGAAAAATTCTTTGAGCCGAGCGACGTGCTCAAATCCCTCTCAAGGATAGGTATGAGATGGATGTCCTAGTTGATCTCCACAGATCAGGAAGGTTCCGCACCACCGTTGCATCCGCACTCAGGCGGCAGAAAGTTGTTCGACAAGACTGCAGTTTTTCATCTACTGCAACGGCATGGCGCGTTCCAGCGTTCTTCGTGATGTCTCTCAATCTGAATCATGCAGGCTGACACAATTCCCGGATTTTTCGGTCACCCGACTTGCTTCTCTGTCGTCACCCAAGATAAACTTGTTCGTTGACCATTGCATGCTCACGAATCAGATTCCTCTGTGCACCCTGATCACAATCTCCCGACGCACAAGCCTGGATATGTTTAGCGCAGACAATATTGCGTGCGGAAGAGCAAAATTGATGGAAGGCGTGGTGTTCCCAGCCATCGGTGATAAGTGGGAAGCCGGCAGAAGGCTGGAGAGGACTGAGCTTGATCAAATGGAGCACGTGCATGTGTTCACTCACGTGCTGGTCACTCATATTCACTGGTTATACGTACCCTCAAACTCCATCGCAGATTCATGTTCCCCGAAGGCTAGTTTGCCCCCAGAAGCACCTGATAAAACCAGTGGCATATAACTCCATCTGTCCTGGTGCATGCGAACGAACAAGGCTGGGGGACTCAGCCGCAAGTGCCCGCCGGTCATGGCAGAATTGGAATTTCTTGAGTCCTGGTCGCTTATGCCTGCACCGGAAGTCGGGAATTCATGCTATCAGTCATACTGAAATGTGCATCCAGCAATTGAACCCTCTCTGGTACTTTCATTTCTTTATAAGCAACAATTATGCAGCTCTATACCGGGACCCGATGACACCTGTGTTCGTTTGTCACAGGTCCACAATACGAACAGGAAGCAGATTCTCATCTATGATATCCGATTGTGTCTCAGACCTTCGACGGGCTGCATGTAGATGGCCTTGATCGACGATCTTGCGTTGCCAGCGAGTAGACTAAGATCAGTTTCCAGGCTGCCGTTCATGTCTCTGAGTTATTTCCCCTCAACCCAAGACCAATCGACCGGAATGTAGTTCCTCTCATTGGACTCGTCATTTGCGTGCTCTCGTGGTGGCTTTCACGCCAGTAATCAAGGCGCAAAGCGAATACTCCACCTCGTTCGACTGGAAGGCGGTATGTCATGAATTTCATCTGAGCCAGCCAGACGAGCCCATGGACCTTCGAAGCTCAAAGCTGCCCCCAACTCCACCTGGGTTACCTCCCATGGTTTCTCGCTCCGTTCAACACGCCTGCAAGTCCCATTCGACTCCTCGAATCTTCGGTGCCGACACCGGGGGACCGCTTTTCTGCGGCTTCCGGCGACCATCGACAATTCGTTTAAGGATTTTCACAGTCATATCTTCTTCAAACCCTGGGGGAACAGGGAACGATAGTGTCGACGCGATGCGGGCCTTTCGGGCGCAATTCCCGGGCTCTGATTGGGGAGAGTATGATATCCATGGGTCTGATCATCGTGGTCCGTCTTTAACACACCTAGCTGTGCAGGTTTTGGGACTCTCCACACCGCCTAAGCATATCTTTAGCAGCTCCGGACGTGATCATTGGATCTGAAGGCTCTTTCCTATCTCCCTCAATTATTCCTCTGGGGTGTAAACCTAGATGGGAGACGATGAAGATCGCGGGGCCGCTCGCGGCTCAGCGCGGCACGGCCGAAATCTTCAAGGGCCTCGGGAATGAGAACGTGGCCCAGGATATGCATCACGTTCCATGGAAAGTTGGATGCGAGACGTTGAGCTATCAAGAGATCTCGTAAGTCGCGGTGACCGACGCTCTACGAACCAAACCAGTGTCCACAGACATATCCGTCAGACACGATCTGGTAGATCAATCTGCTCTGCTCTTAGTTATAATCCAAGCACTCTAAACATGTGTGCCAGCTTCCCGCTCCTCGTTGAGGAAATTGCGGATCTCGAGCGTTGGAATGCGTCCGTGATTGTTGCCTTATCCGCTACACCTGCGCCTTAGGTCCAGTATACTTCTGTGGACCATAGGGCTGGCGACGTGGGATCAAATGGGGGGATCGGCCATCCAGTGCCGATCGCCGATTCAGTCGATGAATCGACAGAAAAGTAACTGCAGACGTCCGAGACTTTCTATCTTTCGGATCTCGCTGCTTGATTTTTCGGTTCGATACTCTACGCGGAAGATCCATCGTAAGGGGCAGCTCCTTGGCCTTGTGGGCTCGGAAGACCAGTCTGCCGCTGTCGATGATTGCGAACGTTGCGGGAAACTTTTTATCTCGCCAACTGATTCTCGAGTTAATAATGCTGATAGTGCATGGGTAGGTAAATCTGGTTGATTTTACTCCCCTTGGAGGGGAGATCCTCTGTAGCGGATGTTCGTTGAGTGATCAGTTTCCATTCTGTAGAGACCGGCTCTAGCGCCTAATTAGATGCTGCTGAGCGAAACTGGGTGATCAACTCGAATATAACCGGTACTTGAAATTATATCACTACATGGACTCTCATTGGAGCTCCTTTGCGTTTCCGTGTTCATGTTCCCACACGTTCAATATCGGATCGGCGACCATTGATGCCCTCGACAGTGATGATTGATGGCCGCCGAATAACACATGCCAGTGACATTGGCTTGTAATCTACTATCAACAGTTCGAACACCGAGAGTAGCTAGATCCATGTGCTTTCATCACAGGCAACTTGCCTCTGACTCCCATGCCGGACCGGGTGGAGGTGCGCAATATCGCCCGGCGGGAGCCTATCGAGCGCTTTCCCAGCGAGCTCCTGGGTGAGATATTCGCATGGGCACGAGACGGGTACCTTCCCACTGCGCGATCCCAGCAGCGCTACTACTCCCAGGAGTACTCGATCTTAGACCCGCTGTCCCCGCCGCTCATCTTCACGCGCGTCTGCTCTCGCTGGTACACTGTCGCGAAGCACACCCCCTCGCTGTGGAACCACGTCCACCTACCTGCGACGAGCAGAATCTCTGCTGCGGCACTCGATGGGCTCCTGCGGCGGTCGGGGGCACTGTCTCTGCATGTCACCCTTGCTAACGAGGGGCGGCCGTTCTGGAAGGGCATCCACCGGCCCACCGCGCTGCTGCGACACCTCCTCCGGAACGAATCGGCGCAACAGCGCCTGGCAACGCTCGATCTGCGGGGATACCTCGAATGGCTTATCCACCCCGATGCGGATTATCCGGCCGTCATTCATCGACGCAATTTCCCGAGATTGAAGATCATGGAGGTCTACTCCACGGATATGACATCCCCGGAGGTGTTTGCGACTGTGCTTGCTGCATTCCAGACTGCCGCGGCCTTGCACTGCGTCTCGCTCATTTCTCCAGTTGGGAGGGCGGAGCGGGGGATGCTTCCATGGCACACTCTGACCGAAATTTCCATCGATACAGATCTGTCGTTTGAGGCGGCGAGAGACATCGTCATGGACGCTCCGCGATTGATCACGTGCACGTTCACCCGTCTCATGGTGGGCGATCGCAGCACCGTAACGGATATCAGCACCGGAGCTCTGCTTGTGCACGACCAGATGAAGGATCTAGCATTCGGGTTCTGCTCGGGAAATCCAGCCGCTTTCTTTGACGCGTTTGCGTTTCCAGCCCTCACGCGCTTGGAAATTGGTATGAACAGCATCGCGCGACAAAGTGCATCTCTAGAGCCAGATTGGGATGTAATTCTGCTGGGTCTGCAGAGGCGCTCATCGTTCGTCCTATCGGCTTTATCCTTATATGACTTTCCATGCCCAGCCACCACCCTCATGGAGTACCTGACGACCTCATCGGGAACACTCGAAGAGCTGATTCTTGAAGATTGCGGTGCTCACGATCCCGATCTCCTTCGATTCCTCACGCTCGACAGTTCCGCAGACTTGAATGGGCCATCCACGAGGTTTCCCGCACTGAGGGAAATGGCACTCCTGTTCTACAGTACCGTCGTCTCACCTGAACCCTTAGTGCGCTTCATCGAATCGGCTGGTGCGCACGGGGGGAGACCAGGGGCTGGTTTTCCCAGCCTCAGGTATCTTTTGATTCATTCGAATGAAATTCAGTCGTCGAGAGAGACAGCGAGGATCAACCTGGCGTGTGCCAGAAGTGAGGCAGAAATTGACTACGAGGTTCTATGAAGGACTGTTACAGTGTTTATCAGTTATGTATTAGATATTTACATGTTACACATAGACAATTTGATCCATACTCACTCTTGGTATCGACGGGGGGAACCTCGTACTTAGCCTTTTCTGGCGATTTGCCCTGTCATGATTATCGATCTTCCTGTCCCGGGAGATGTGCGCACGCAGCCTCGGCTTGATCGGAGCCAGAGCCGCAGTCTAGATTACGAGTAGCTCATGTAGCGGCTGCTTAGGGGCGCTGAAAGTTGTAGACACTGGGAGCGTACGCCCAGAGATGGTTTGGGTACTGTGCGAAACAGTTTCAAAGGTCACACCGCATCACGCCTCAATCCATTATGAAGTCACGCCAGAGATGAAATACGCGCCTATGTCCCGAGGGCACCATGCAAAGTAGAGCGTTCCTGCGGGACACTATGGCGGGAGATTGAGAAGCGAAAGCGCGACAACACGAAGATCTCATTAGCCTAGCGGCTAGGCTCATTCAGTGGGTGAGAGCAATCCCCAGCTCTTGTTTGTTGTTGTTTGAAAGGTCGAGTCACTCGGAGCCGAGCTTACATTCCCCATTTGGAAGCCCCACGTCGGGGATAAAACCCGCCTCGCGCCTTTACGTTGCCTTCGCCCGCCCTTCCCTCCCACTGCATCTTCTAGTCAGTTTCCCCTTCATCCTCATTTTCTTTTTGCTTTCCCACTCTGTGCTCCACCTCTATGTCGCCCTTTCCTCCCTTCACAGACCAGGCTCAGTTCTGTGAGGGTATGGTACTATGGTGTAATCCTCAAGACCAGCGAATGTCCCTGGCCGCTGAACCCGCTGAACCCGCCGAGAACAAGCCCAAGGATCTCCTGAACAACAACAAAACCAACCTGTACCCGCACATCGCCATTCATGTTGACCGCCAGCAATGCACCATCCACGTGGTGCGGTTGTGTGATGCCAAGGTTGGTCTCCCTCTGCTTGGTGTCTCTTGTGCCGATTCTTTGTCCTGTCCTTCGTTCTTTGACGTGGCACTTTTTCTCTCGCAGCCTGCTCAGATGGGCTGGTGGTCATTGGCCACATCCTTGGCTTGGTCCAGGAAGGACACTTACCTGTACATGGGCTGTCCCGTCACTGTGCGCATGGACATCGGCCGCACGCGTGTCATGCATCGTGTGTTCCTCTCTTTGTGCCTTCATTCATGTTCTCTCATTCCTTTCTCTCCTCTCCTCTCTTTTTCTATTGCGCAGCACACAAAGACCAGACGTACAATACGCCTGATGTCATGGCCCACAATCTCAAGGTATACTGCCAGCTCAAGGCTGAATATGGTATGCCGCTATGCCTCTCCTCCTTTCGTCTGTGTTCTTCCATGTATCGTTCCCTGCTGACTGTTTCCCACTCAAACAGTTCGGCGGTCGCAGTACCATACTCATAGCTATTCTCTGCCCAATTCACATGTCGCTTCCCCGCAGTTCCATACTCAAGCCATGCCGATCGTCCTTTGCCCTGTCTCGCCGCCGCAGTCGAACTATCCACCAGCGCCGCCCATGTACTGTCCACAAGCTCCGGGCGTCGGAATGCTCCACCCGCCAGGGATGTATCAGCCGCAACTCGGAGCGCAATTACCCACGGTAACTGCCACTGCCATTGCGCACAAGGCCCTGCCGCCGCAGAGTCTGACCTTCCCGACCCTCGCCAAGAGTGATGTGATCCGACCTCCTGAGTTTTGCCAGCAGAGCCAGTCGTTGCCTGGCTGCTGGAAGAACCCAGACACTGGCAAATACTGGCACCCTCAAGGCCCGGAGGCCGTTGTGCAACTCGTGGCGACAACAAGCAGACTCGGTCGCTCGACGCGATGAGTCCTGGGGCGCTCAAGGCGTTCCCTGCGGCGAGATGTGGGGGTGTCGGTTGGAGAGTGGTTCCTGGTTCTTGCGGACGGTCTATGGGCGCTCGAGGCGTTCTTTCCGCGGATCTTCGACCGTGTCCTTGCATCTGAGTTCGCTCTGCCATCTTGTTCTCGCGTTGCTGTATGTTGTACTGCAAGATGTTTCATCGTCACCCGAGGCTTTGCTTCCAAGTGTCGTGGAACGAAAATTCAGGCCTAGATGGCTTACACACGTGCTATGTATATCCTTTTTCGTTTGCTTGTGCGGGATCAAGTCAGGTGACCAGCGATTGTCTTCTTTGCTCCTGAAACGTACCTGTGAACTGCAGGCTGTCCGCGCCCAACGTCATGTTCTTGTCAAGAGCTGCTGCTTCCGAGTATCTACGATTTAGCCCCCTGCTTCAGAAATCTCATGTCCTCGTCTGAAATGCCCCTCCTTCCTCGCGAACTAGAGCGCGACATCTTCAGTAAATGTGCAGCGAGCTTTCCGCTCATGCGACCCGCTTTGATACAAGTGGCCGCCCGAGTCCGTACATGGTGCGCGTGTCGAAGTTTGAGTCTTCCCTCGGACTGACCCCCTCCTGAGGATTGAGCCCACTTTGTACCACCATATCTTCGTATGCGACGGCCATCGCAAACGAGAGACAGGACCAGTCAACAAAGGAAGCTACGCGGACATGCCCATCGACGACTTCCTGTACCGCCATGCCCACCCGGCTTCCTGGACGATCCTGGAGCGACACACGCGGTCCATCGCGATCGACGCGCGCACGGCCTGCACACCCGAACTCGTAAAAGCGCTCTCTGCGCTCCCCAAGCTCACCGCTGTGTGCATGCTCAGCACGACCGGGCTGAAACCCACGCTTCTCCCCGCCCTCACTGCGCTCGGCGGCCTTGAGCGGCTCAGCATGGACGTCGCGCCGCTCTTCAGGGACAGCCGGCAGACCCAGACACCCCGTTTCACGCACCCGGTCTTCAGACACATCACGCACCTGCACCTCGACATCTTCGCGCCGGACTGGGACGCGTGGGCGCGCTATCCGGTTGAGCTAGGCACGCACCCACACCTGACGCACCTTGCGCTCGGGCGCGTCGCGGAGTGCATCGGGGACTACGACTCTATCGAGGCGTACGAGGCGCTGGTCGCAGATATCCTGCGGGAGTGCGCGCGCTTGACGGTGCTCGTGTTTCTGTGCGCCGATGGGGATGAGCTGGAGTTTTGTCAGGAGGAGCTAGGCAGTATTCTGAGCGAGGATGCCAGGTCTGTGCTGCTGCTGCTGGAGTGGAGCGAGTTGTGGGATGACTGGAAGCGGAGTGTATGCTGCATGGAGGAGGAGGAAGAGGACTTCTGGGCGCGTTGTGAAACGTGGGCGCAAAGTAGGCTGGAATGTGAAGGAATGGACGGTATGTCGATTGTTCCCAGCGTAAAACCGCATTTGACGCGCTAACGCGGAGCCAGGCTCGGAGTTTACGGTCCCCGCGCTTCTGCGTGATCAACTTATTATGCCGTAGTTGTCTCCCCATGCGCTGGCAGATTGTTTCGTCCGTGCCCTTCCGTCATGCTCGAACCCAGGCCTCCGCGGCCTCATTGCATCGACAGCGACCTCAGCGCGGCGCGGTGATCCCAGCCCTCAGTTACGATAGTGACGCTCTCCTTGTAGACTTCGAATACCGACTGATCGGTGTCGCCACCATGATCGACCCCTCCAAGCATGGAGGAACTGTTGATGGCTCTAATCGACGCCACACTCCTAGATGACAATGAAATGCCATCCCGCGCTGTTCGACGTGACGCAAAAGTTTTGCGCTCTTCCGATGCGATGGGATGGGCACCCTCGCATAGCCACACATCGGCACAGAGCCAAGACATATCTTCCATTATCTACTCCCAAACGCAAACGTATTCAAGATACTACGTCCAACATCAGTCGATCAGGTCCGCCGCCACAGTCACTTTGCTCGGGCCCATGTCTGCCCATGTCGGGTTAGCACTGCAGAAATCGGGATTCAGGAGGAGACTGTCATGATTGGCGGCATCATCATCAGCGATGCCACCAGATTTTGTATTTCGGCAAGGCCATTGCTTCGCTGCATTCGCGATCCATTATCCCGCGTGGTATATGCGGCCTCGTGGTTGAGCGGATGATCATCTCCGCATTGCCGCTCGGGTGATTGCCGAAAGTAGCTGATGTGCATTATCACTGGGGCCACGCAATTGGTCGAGCGCGCAGCGAGCAAGTGGGAGACTACTGATAAGATTCGGGACAGGCTACAGAAATAAACGCGTGTCAGAAATAGAGCATTCAGCGCGAGCTACCGAGGGACAGAAGGGAACAGAAGAGAAGAGAAGAGAAGAGACGGGCTGGCGAAGTCTTGAGCCCTGGCGCTGCGTGGTTACTACTTCCGTAATCGATCCATGCGTACCAATGGGGGTGCGTGGATCATCCAAGAGCCAAGCTGCCGCTGCCCTGCTATAGATACCAGGCTAATCAGGTGCACTTGTTCTAGACAGACGCAAGATGCACCTCTCCCTCCTCCCGCTCGCTCTCGCGCTCTTCAGCGTCGTCGACGCGCAAAACTTCACCCGCCGCAGCTGGGACGAGGCCTTCGCCCTCGCGAATGCGACCGTCGCGCAGCTGACCACGGCCGAGAAGGCCGGTATCGCGGCTGGCGTGGGCCAGTTCACCTCCCGCTGCGTCGGGAACACGTCGCCCGTCGCGCGGCTCGGCATCCCCGCGCTGTGCATGAACGACGGGCCCGCAGGGATCCGGCTGGTCAATAACGTGACAGGATTCCCGGCAGGGATCAACGCAGCGGCGACGTTCAGTCGGAGGCTGATGCAACTGCGGGGTCAGGCTTTGGCGGAGGAGTTTCGAGGCAAGGGCATTCACGTCTACCTTGGGCCTGCCATGGATTTGGTGCGTCGCTGTCGGCATTCTTCCTGTCTCATGACTGATTGAGGCTGCAGATGCGCAACCCAATGGCTGGCCGCGCTTGGGAAGGGTGCGTGGCGGGCGGTTAACGCTCACTGCTGTCTGATCCAGCCCACCCAGATTCGGACCGGATCCGTACCTTTCCGGGGAGGCCGCCTACTACACGATCATCGGCGTGCAGAACGTGGGCGTACAGGCATGCGCGAAGCACTTCAACGGGTACAACCAGGAGCACTGGCGGTACGGGATGATCTCAAACATTGACGACCGGACGATGCACGAGCTGTACCTGTACCCGTTCTTGCGAGCCATCGAGGTGGGTTCAGTGTGTGCTTTTCCTCGCTGGTCGTGTGCTGATCCATCGTGTGGATCATCAGGCCAACGTGACGTCAGTCATGTGTACGGAAAGATTTGCATCTTCATCAGCGACTGATTGTTAATCTGCTTCTCTCTCTCCTTCTCCAGGTTCTTACAATCAATTCAATGGCACCAGCGCGTGTCAGAATCCAGGACTGATCGGCCCCAGCGGTCTGCTGCGCCAGAACGGTTTCAAGGGTGGGTGCTGCCAAGTCGCCGCTGTCTTCTCGCGCGCTGACCTGCTTGTTTGCAATCAGGGTATGTGGTCTCCGACTGGGGTGCCACGCACGCCTCGGCCGACACAAACGCGAACTCGGGCTTGGACATGGAGCAGCCCGGTGACAACATCGTGATCGGTGGTGGCTCGTTCGGAACCCAGGGAACCAATCTCGTCAACGTCGTCAACTCTGGCAAGGTCGACACAAACGTGAGCCGCTGCCAAACTTGGATGTGTGTAATGAAGGGCTCTGACATACCTTCTTTTCCGCAGCGCCTGGATCAGATGGCTGCCCGTGTTCTGGCGGGATACTACCTCCTCGGGCAAGAGAACGGCTACCCGGCGGTCAGCTTTGGCGTGCAGCAGTCTTACGGCACCACCGGCCTTAACGAGAACGTCAACGTGCGCTCGGCGACCCATTTGGCGATTGCGCGTGAGGTCGCGGCGGCCAGCACGGTGCTGCTCAAGAATAACCGGACTAGCTCCGCGGGCGCTGGCGCACCTGCCGGCTCGGGGACAACTCTCCGCGGTCTGCCGGTCGCCCTCTCGCAGGTCAAATCCATCGCCATCGTCGGGCTCGATGGGATCATGCCGAACGTCAAATGCAACGATCTGAACGAGTGCAATGATGGAACGCTGGGTGTAGGGTGCGTGCCTTTGTGAGGCGGTCGAAGACATTGACCGACTGCCCCGCCAGCTGGGGCTCTGGGTCCAACTACGTCCGCGATACGATTCCTCCGGTCACTGCCATCCAGGACTTTGTCGGCTCCAGCGCGACAATCACGACTTCGCTGACGAACGACCTGAATGCTGGCCCTGCTGCGGCCAAGGGCAAGGATCTGTGCATCGTGCTCGGCAACGCGTGCGTCGTTCTTTGCAGTCATAGTCCTTGGTCTGACTCTTTCACCAGTGACAGCGGAGAGCTTGGTGCCTACACGATCGTCGTCGGCAACGAGGGTGACCGAAACGACCTCAACTTGTGGTACAAAGAGGGCTCTCTGGTGAGCAGTGCCGAGTTTCGTCGTTTCGCCTCCACCAATCAACATGGGAAATAGATCCAAGCTGTGGCCAACGTCTGCAGCAACACGATCGCTGTGATCCACAGCGTCGGCCCCGTCGACTTGTCGTGGTCGAACCACCCGAACATCACCGGTATCATCTTTGCTGGATTGCCCGGCGAGCAGACGGGCCCTGCGCTCGTTGACGTCCTGTTCGGTGCAGTGAACCCGAGCGGGCGCTTGCCGTTCAGTGTCGATGAGGTGCGAAGAGCTGTTGCCTTCTGAGTACGAGTCACAGCTGATCTGGTGTGCAGAACCCCAGCTCGTACGGAACGACCATCGTCACCAGCCCCGGCTTCCCGATCGGATTCCCCACTGTATGCTGCGCACACTCTTTCGATCGCAAAGCATCGCTCACCGTCCTCAGATCGACTACACCGAAGGCTTGAACATCGACTACCGGTACATGGACGCACAGGGAATCAAGCCCCGTTTCCCCTTCGGCACAGGGCTCTCCTACACCACCTTCGCGTACTCAGGGCTCAAACTCACCACCACGAGCACCGGCGCGACCGCGACATTCACCGTGCGCAACACGGGCGGCGTCGCCGGCACGGAGATCCCGCAGATGTACCTCGCCTTCCCCGCGGCAGCCAACTCCCCGAAACGCGTGCTGCGCGGGTTCGAGGAGGTCGGCCCGCTCGCGCCCGGCGCGAGCCAGACCGTGACCATGACCATGAACTCGCGCGAGTTGAGGTACGTCGTGGCTTGTTCTTTCCGCGGGCGAGGCTGATGTCGGTGTGACAGCGTGTGGGATGTCATCAAGCAGCAGTGGGCCCGTGTGCCGGGGACGTTCACTGCGACCGTCGGTGCCTCGATCGACGATGTGCGTTTGACGGGCACTTTCGTGTCCGCCTAGGTTGTTTCGGTGATTGCTCAGTCTGTTAGCGCGCTCTATTCTTATTTCTCTGTGGTATTCCTATCGTCTCTCGTTTCTCCGTATGCACACTTAATATTCGGTCGCTCGTTCGTAAATCTACATTCTTTTCACCTGGAAATATCTCCGAGAGGGAGGAACCATCCGTATACTCTTGTGGAAGATTGTTCTTGAGCCTTCATCTGTGAGCACTGACCAACCGCTAACCCGTTTTTGACCCCGCAGATCGTGAGTCGGCCTCGCGCCCGCGTGCAAGATTGCTACAACGTAGACGACCCGGTGTGCTCCCAGGATAATAGTGACGGGTTGATGCCTAGCAAATTGGCAAGTGCGAGGCCATGCGCGACTGGTGCAGGGCCCCGACAACCGGGGCAAAAACAACCACTGCATTCAGCCCTCAGCTAGCGCCGGCTGGAGCGTGAAGATGCGAGGTTGAACGCAGTGAACAACGCGATACCGGATATGCTGTGTTCGCTGCATGCGCCTGGGGTGGAGTAGAATGCCTCTGCTTTGACTTTGTAGGTTTATTTCAGGCTCTCATCTGATTTCCCGAAAGGGTCGAGAGAGTTCGATCTTTCGGGTTGAGTCAGGTTGAGAAGTTTATTTCGTGGTACTACAAAAGTTAAACTTGAACGTGATCAATGTCTACCATCCTGAGATCATTGCAGAGCCCCGAAAACGGCCTTGGCTGCTCAGTTGCAGAAGCTTCCATCCCGTGAAATCCAGGCTTCGTCGTGCCAAATCAAGCCGCTGAGCTCTGGTGTAGCGAAAGCCTCCGATAGCCATACAAGTAGATGCCGTGGGCGCGCAATTCTTGGGCTGGGCTGTAGAATTTCGATCGCATCATTGCCTGACCATTGCGTCGAACTCGGACTAGGTGACTTAATCAGAGGGCTCCTCGTCTCCACCTTGCCTCCACGCCCGATGCTGGAAATAATGCGGATATTGTGACCAGAAACAATCACAAGCCCACTCGCGCCATGTGTCGTAACTTGGCACAACTTCCGAGGACGTTCCGAGCGAGACGGGTCCGAGCGAGAGGAGATCATGAATGAATCACCTGCTTTGCGCGTTTCCGTCATTCGGATCTCACGTAGCCTCAGACCATCCGCCTCAACGCGAGTGAAGTCTACCAGTCCAGCACATGGTATCGCCTAAATAAGGGAGAAATTGTCATCCAGGAAATTCTCTAACCTGCGTCACCCAAAAGTGATTCGCAGGAGTTGCCAGTGGATGCTGTAAAGATGGAACTTCATATTTTTCTGTGTATTGTGAGTATTTGATGAAGCGTTTACGTACGTCTCAGCGGAGATTCCCACAATCCACCTCGGAAATGATCTCTATCGACTGCAACAGGCAAATTTTACAAAGCAGCGGGCCGAGTTCCATGTTCTATCAAACCACTTCTTTGGCTGTTAGTACGAGCTTGCGGGATTGTCATCAGCCCTCAGCAACATTGCAAGTTCAATGTCAGCCGGGCTCCGCTTCACCAAGGAGGCTGACTCAGGAAGTGTCAGCTTAGTTGCACGAAGATTGCTGGACTGCAAGAGACATGCGCTACCATGCGGGCTCCTCAGATGCATAGGTCAGATCGTTCTGAGAACAGACTAAATCGCCTAGCCACGCTCTCCTCTAGATATGTTCGGAACGTTCTCTCCCTTGCGTCAGGAGGCCGCCTCATTCAAACATTCGAAATGCCATTCTCGCTCTATTTTGGATCGATCTTCGGAGCGGTGTACCTTGGTGCGTTCGAGTTCGCATCCCGCGGCGGCGGTGACCCGTCCATGATGGTGACTAACCATCAATTACTCATTCCAGGTGTACTCTCTTTCTGGGTTGTTTGCTGACCAGATGTTGACTTCCATAAAATGGGGCACTTAGTCTTTCTCAAGGCCATTCAACATCCTCGAAACGTACCATGCCTTCTCGACACATTCTTACTCTCCTGGGTCCCGCATGGGGCCATGTGCTGCCTTACATTCACCTCACGACTCGGATGTTGGCCTCGGATCCGGAGTTGGTCATAACCATAGTACAGCACAACGTTTTCGGTGAGTGCCTCTCTTGAGCCTCGTTTAACTCTCTGTACTGAATCTAGTAGTGCCAAGAATGTTCAAAGAGCTCGACTCCTGCTCGTATGATACTAGCAGGTTGAAGATCGAGGGTGTAGGCGACAAGGAGTGAGTCTCCGATACCCTTGCTGGGTCGAATTCATCCATCGAGAGCAGCCTTGCAGTTTCGCTAGAAACCATTCCGCTGACGATGAGAGAACTCACAGCTGGATGGCTTTCGATCCTCGCGAAATCAGTCATCGGAGGAACCGCGTGGCCCAAGCCGAACACATTACATGTATGTGCGCTCTAAACGTTCATTAAAAAGCTCATCACTCCGAGCAGATGGATTTCAGCGGAGGAGGGCTGATCATCAAAGAGTCCAGGGCTTTGTTGGGACCGGAAGGAAAGGTTCTTCTCTGGTGCTCCACTGGGGTCGCCGTGTGCATGGATCACTTCAGCGAATTCGATCACGCCAAGACCGCGCGCGAGATCTACGCCGACGAGGGCAGACGGGCTGGAAGAACGATGGATGAGATCATTGCCGACGTGAGCACTCCTTTGTCCCCATGATTTCACACTGTATTAAGACCGGCTGAATCAGGTCTTCTGCGCCGGCAATGGCAGCGACAAACTCGATGGCCGAATCCTCGAGATCGCCGGAGGCCTCAAGATATATGATCACGAGCACATTGCGCAGGGCGCTGGCTCACCCCGCCGCTTGGCCGCTGTTTTGACCGCCGCCCAAGAATTGGGTCAGCTGTCCGACGGCTTCTTTTGCCCCACCAGCAACGCTTTGGAGCCTGTTTCGGTTCCTTACGCTCGCGAGTATTACAAGCAGCGCGGCAAAGAGCTGTTCCTCGTTGGTCCTCAGATGCACGATGATGAGTGGGAGGCACCTGCAGCGGGATCCGGTCCCAAAGATGAGAGGATCAAAAAATTCCTGGAGGATGCAAACAAGAAGTATGGCCCGAAATCGGTGCTGTATATCTCTTTCGGGTGCGCCAGAATCGTTTCTCCAATTTTTAATTGCTCGATCACTGAACTTGAACTCACTCAGCTCGGTGTTTTTCCCTCTGGAGACACCCCATCTGGTCGAGATGCTGATCGAAGTTCTGCTGGGTCTCGAAAGCGTGGTCCCTTTCGTCTTTGTCGTCGCCGGTGTTATGGCTTCCCTGCCAAAAGAGACGATCGATCGCATTCACGCGAGCGGCAGAGGAATCGTGTGCACCGATTGGGTGGACCAGAAAGCCATCTTGAAAAGTGGATCCATCGGCTGGTTTCTGACCCACGGCGGTTACAAGTCAGTCCTCACCGTTCGAGTCTGACGTGCATCCCGCTGACCTATTCCCAGCTCGTTGACTGAGTCGCTGAGTCAAGGGATTCCACTTATTTTCTGGCCAGTTGGAGCCGAACAAGCTCTCAATGCGGCGATGTTTTCGACGGGTCCTCGGCCCATCGGAATCGAGCTTTTCCAGGTAATCACCACGGAAACTGCTCTACTGAAAGCCCGGTAACTGACGATGGACAGATTCGAGCCGGAACTCAACTGGGCCCTTCCCTCCGTCCAGAGGCACCGAAGATCACAGGAACAGCTGAGGACGCAAAGATTGAATTCCAGCAGGCATTCAAGGACCTCAAAGGGCCCATAGGCGCAACCCTGAAGCAGAATGCCGTTCGTATCGCAGAGTTGTGGCGGGAGGAGAGAATCGACGGCGAACCTGTGCAGGAAATTGCAAGACTTACCAGGTTTTAGCAAGTAGATTTACTGCGTTGTTCCACATGAGACTGCAGAAGGCAATGGAGGATGATTTAGAGAGAGTGAGTTGATTGATCTAATGTAAAAACTGATACGACAGTGCTCATAATTTACGAGCAAAGTTCATATCTGCTATATATGAACATTACATTCGGACCGCGTGTACTTGGATCACGTGCATGGTTTCCATTCTCTGTTCCACAATGACAAGCAAACAGGATCCACTTCATTCTCGACCGGGCACTGACAGTATCTACACACAAACTAAAAATTACGTATTTCTCCGCTCAAAACACGGCTCGCCATCATCCCCTGGTTACTGACTAGGAGCGGCCTGATGGGCGGAAGAGGTCGCCGTCGGTTCACCGCTCGTGCTGCACACGCCGAAATCACACGGCGACCGACAGTGGTCCGCGACCGAGATCAGACCCTCACAACAGTCGAGCCAGCGGCATCCCTGGTTGTCACACCAGCGGTTGTACTGGTCCGGGCCGAGACAGGTGGTGGGAATCGCAAGGAGCGTGTTGCGCGCGGTGCATCTACGGGTGACGGGTGCTCACTGCTCAGCGCGCGTGATCGAATCGCTTCCGGGATGCAAACACGTACTTGTACGAGAACGGATCGTAGCACGCCTTCCCGCACCGAAGATATCCGAGGTGATTGACGATCGGGCAGAGCAGGTCGCCGTCGATACAGACGTACTGGAATGGAAGTCAGCTAGGTCCGTTTTGCCATCTCATGATGGTAGCGCGCCGGTGCTACGTACGTCCTGGGCATAGAACCGCGCGCGGGGACCGCAATCTTCCAACGGATTTTCGCCGATTTGGAGTGGTACGACGGAGGTACCGTTGCAGCTGCGAGTGGGGTGAGCGAATTCCGTGCAAGCGAAGCGGATGCATGCATCAGACGGCGCACGTTGAATCGTTGGTCGAGTAGCAGTTGTCACCGCAGCGGAGCAGCACATCGGCGTCGCTGTAGCCATGCGGGTCGTGGATGGGACAGAGAAAATCCCCGTCGAAGCAGGTGTACTGTGAATGCGCTTGAATCAGCGATTGGGAATGGAGAGAGGGAGAGAGGCAACATGGGCAGGATCGTATTGGGAAGCCCCGCATTGAAGGACCTTGGTAACACCAGCCGCAGCGAGGCCAGCTGCAGAGAGAAGTGAGATGAGAACGAGACTTATAAGACGAGGCATCTGGTTGTGGTTTTGACTCGGTTGAGATAGAGCTGTATGGTACCCCCTGTGGCTTTTAAAGTCGAGCCAGTGGGATGAGGTACCCGCCTGATGTATTCTCGAAGATGGCTCTCCGCTGTAACTGCGTCAAATCAACGCTACGAGTCCTAGGGCTCACAGTACCAATGAGGTTGGGCGCTGCATGAAACATCAATTTCGCGGATGCAACTTCTCCGGGGATCGAGAACCGCAGTGCGATAGTGAATTCAATGAGTGAGTGGACCAAGTTTAGTCCGCGGGTTCCTAGCTATTTGCGTAAATTCATGAACGAGAGCAGGGCGTGAGGAGCTGGAAGACATCTTAACGAAGATAATAATGCTGGTTGATCGCGCTATCCTGACCATCTGTGAGCGCTCAGGAAGAGGAATGCCAGACCAGTGCAGTGGCTGACGTAGGAGATTAGTGAAAGCGGCAAAAAGATATCAGGGGTGTAATTGATCGGGCTCAGCATATTGCTCAGTTCGATGCTAAGGGTGAAGAGACGGAAAGATTAAAGATAGAAGCGAGATCAATCTGGTGCGGTTATTCGGATGAGAGATAAGATAAGGTTTCGGATGCACGTCGGAGATGCTGTCGGATGTCATCGGATCATCGTTGCTGACAAATGACAGCGCGAAGGATTTCAATCTCTGCTCTACAACACGTTGACGACCGAAGTTGAAGTGACGCTGGGCTATGCTGCGCCATGAGGATCCTTCCATTCTCTTCCAATCACTGCATTTGCTCAACTAATGGATGTTCAATGCCTTTGCCAGCGAGTGCAGGGGATCAAGTCAAGAGCCAGTAGAAAGACGTCGAGCAATCCACTACTTCATCCGAACCGTTTCATCGCTATCGACGAGCAAAACCAGCCCACATGCGCTTCCGGAGGCATGTGATTTCTGAAGCGCGCCCACAAGAGCTTCTTTACCAAGGATCATCGGTCGGAGAGCTACGAAAGCCTCCGTTCACCTCCAAACACCATGCGATTGGTTAGGCCGACGAAGATCGACAGCGATCATTATTGCGGCGTTGCTTCTGCGATGTCCGGGCGCAAAGCTTTAGCGGGGAGCTAGGCTCCAGCCCGTCCTGTCTCTCGCATCGCACGTTGCTATGTACGCTTCTTCGCCAGCGTCCTCATATACCGTGCGCGCATCTGCCAGACGGTATCCGAACCCCCGAGTGACCTACATACACGACTATGTTGTCCGCTCTCGCTGCCCTCGTGTCTCTGGCTGCGGCCGCCTCCGCACACCCCCAGCAGCCGCACGGGGCCCACCGCGTGCAGACGAAGACGAACGACTGGAACGTCGCGTGCCGGGGGAACTGCTCGTACGACCTCCCTGAGGGAGGCGCCAGCATCCACCTCGTGCGTCCCTCCGCGCTCATGCTCTCCCATCGCCGGATCTTACTGACGACTCTTGATGATCTGCTCACCAGTCCGGCGGCAACAATGCCGTGTCGGACATCACCCACGCCGGCGGATGGACGATCCTTAGCTGCAACCAGACGGCGCTGGTGCAGACCGTGCGCGCGACTTGCCACTCGACCGACTGCGAGCACCTCTTCGCGGGCCACGGCCCCGTCGACACCGTCGTGCGGCTGCCTGAATCCGTGCGTTGCCGTCGCGCCTTGTGTGCCTATCAATAGGACTAGCTCACTCCTTTGGCTTGGCAGTGCGGCCCCGCACCGTTCGCGCGTATCGCGAATGTCACGGCGGACCCCAACCAGACTGTCCATGCGCGCTACGGCAAGTACCAGCACGCACGCTGGACGCCTGGCCAGATGAAGGACAAGGTGTTCCTGCTGGAAATGGACGTTGATTTCGCGTCCGTGGATCCCTCGACGTGCGTTGTGTATCGTGCTCGTTGCGCTGTTTCCTAGGCTGATGAGCCGGCTAGTACCGGCCCGGTCTCGTTCTACGTGTCGACCAACTCGACGGGAACTGCGCCGTCGGCGCGGCACCTTGATGCTCGAAACAGTACGTAGAATTCACTCCTGTTACGGAGGAATCGGCGCTGAGTATCACGCAGACTGGACCGCCTACAACGCCACCCCTACGATCACTCTGTGAGTGTCTTGTTGTTTCCCTCTAAAGCGTCGTCGCTGACTGCAGCACAGCCCGCCCGTGAAGATCAACCAGACGTTCCCGCTGGCCTCCGCTTCTATCTCGTGCCCCGGCTTTAACGCCTCCGTAGCGACCGAGTTTGCGCTCAATGTCGATACGGCAGTGACCATGGGCATGACCATGACCGGCACTGTCATCCCCGCCAAGATCACCCAGCTCGACTTCTTCGCCGGGCTCGATGGAAGCATCCTGGGCAAGTTGGGTGTTCAGGCGGCTGCTACGGTTCGTGCATTGCTGTAAACTTGGCCCTTGGAATGAACGCCATCTGCGCAGGGAGGGTTCTCGACTGGAAAGGTCAGCCTGTACCAGGTTGCGATTCCGGGCTACAGTGTGCCTGGTATCTTCAGTGTCGGCGTAAGTTGGTGGCAGCTGATATGTTGTCCTCATCTCACTAACACGTTGTTGCTAGCCCACCTTCACCGTCTACGGCAAAGCTGACCTGGAGCTCGATGCATCGCTCGACGTTTCGCTCGATCTTTCTTACCAAGTGAGCGGCGCACGTGTGTACGTTCCTGCATCGGCCACGCCTCCGGGTGTCGTCCCCGCTAAAAGCAGTACGTCTTATCCGTTGTGCTTTCTCTCAGCCACTGATCCCAATCGCGGCAGACTTCACCCTGGCCCTGACTCCCGACTTCACCGCGACGGCAAACGTGACCGCGAGCCTGATCCCCGAGCTCGCCGTCGGGCTGAGCGCGTTCTCCGGCCTCGCCAAGGCGGAGGTCTTCCTGAACCTCGAGGCCGACGCGGGGATCTCCCTGTCGAGCCTGAACGCCTCTGCCGATGCGCGTGTGACGGGCACTGGGTCCGCGGCTGTCTCGGGCCAGGTCGCCGGCTGCGTCGACATCAACTCCGGCTTCTCCGTCAACGTGGGCGCCGACGGCAAGCTCTTCAGTGCGTCGCTTTGTTCCCTGCAGCGATTTCCCTGAGGGACTAATCACACACCAACACCCAGACATCATCTCCGCCGCGGTCTCCACGCCGCTGTACGCGAACAGCTGGGATCTGTACAACACGTGCTTCGCGGCCTCGGGCAGCACGAATAACGGAAAGGCTGCGCGCCGGAGCGCCGGACTGACGCGCCGCGCGGCGCTCGTGTGCCCGGCCTCCGCCAGTGCGACAACCCTGCAGCAGTTCATCAGCCAGTTCCTGCAGGCGCTACCCGCGCTACCGTCCGCCTCGGCCCTGCCGTCGCTGCCGTCGCTTACGGCCTTCCCCTCCCTGTCGCTGCCCGCCATCTCCGGCCTGCCCACCGTCGTTTCGAAGCGAAGGTTGTGAACTCTAGCTCTGCTCTTGTGGGGAAACAGCGACCACTCTCTTTGAATCACCTGCTCTCGTTTCGTAACATCTCTTTCTTTCACACCACTGTCTTTTCTAGTTTTTCGGTGAATCAATGCTGTTGACCTATGTCTGAGTTGGTCCTGCCCGACACCGATAGGGCAAGGAAAAGGAGACAGGAGGTATGGTGATTAGTTTGGTCGGTGCCCGTGGCACTCTCGAAGGGTCAGACCGCGCGAATTCTCACGTCCAGGCTCAAATTTGCCGAATATTTTCGACATGAGAAGGTAGGATCCGTTCTCATATTCCTCCAAAACTTGAATTTTGACCACAATTTAAAATAATTTACACCAATACTGTCTCACATATTGAAATATTAATCAACCACCAACCCGCGATCCCAAATAAAAATCTGCCTTGAAAGTGACTTGATCCCCGAACGGCGTCCTTGAAGATTCACGTGGCGATGTTCAGCATTCTCCAAATTCGCATGGAGAGCGGCACTTGTCTGCGATGGAGAAGAGGCCCTCGCAGCACTGCAGGATAAAGCAGCCCTCGTTGTTGCACCACACATCCTGCCCGCCCTGGCTCACGCAGCCTTTCGGCGGGAGCGGAACAAGCGCGTTGTCAGTGCATCTGGGGGAGGCGCCCGGTCAGCTGCAATTCGTCCCGAGGATGATCAAGGAGGAGGCGTACTTGTAGTCAAAGGGCGAGTAGCAGGCGTCTCCGCAGCGCAGATACCCGACGTGGTCGACGATGGGGCACAGGAAGCTTTCGTTGATGCAGACGTACTGCACATATATATCAGGCAGTGCTCATCAATTATGTTGCGCGCACTCACGTCCTGGGTGTAGAACCGCGCATCGCCGCACTGCTCCAGCAAGTTCGAGCCGATGGGCACCGTCTCCAGCGTCGTTCCGTTGCACCTGGCCACAAAATGGTATCAGCATCGCGCAGCACCCAGCTACAGAGAGGAGATGCACGTGTAGTGGTTCGTCGAGTAGCATGCGTCGCCGCAGCGGAGCAGCACATCCACGTCGTTGAAGCCCTGCGGGTCAAGGATGGGGCACAGGAAGTCCCCGTCGAAGCAGGTATACTGGTCACCAATCAGTCAGTTGCCGTGGTGCGCGATGGACGACGCAATGAAGCGCTTACGTCGGCCGGATTGTACTGCGACTCGCCGCAGTCGAGGAGAGTCTGCGCGAATACGCAGCTGGCGGCGAGGGCAGCGAGAGTCAGGAAGAAGAGACGAGCCATGATTAGGTTGATTTCGAGGTAGAGCTTTTGCGAGTGGCTACTGGCTTTTGCAAGGCTAGCCAGCGAGCCCTTTATAGTTTACCGTCCGCCCAACGACATGCCCACACGTGATACCTGGGTCTCTGCAGCCCAACACCAGAATGAGAGATGCGTGCCTGCCTGCTGTGACGTCGATATCTGGACAGCAGACACTCTGCCGTGCCTGAACATGACCGTGACAGTGTGTCAGAGCGGATCGCAGCCCAGCCTGAACATGCGTTCATCAAGACTCAAGAGCGCCCAGCAAAAAAGAAAAAGAGGGGAGAGAGTGAGGGTGAGCAGAACTCCGCCGAAAGCGCAATGCGCTTTCCCGATGCGCGCAGGGAGATATCCGCCAAGACTATCGCAACTGCCCTGGGGCTAAAAATCGTCTACTCGTCTCGGAGCGGAGCTAAGCAGCAGCATCTTACCAGTGACGAGAGCATGTCATCGGGACTTTAAAATAGACACTTGCGTCGTGGTACTCGCGTTCTAGAGTAGTCCGGTCTCACGGTGACAGAAAGTGGTCGCACGTCATGTTGTCAGATCGAGCGAGGATGGAGAGCGAAAAGAGCTGCTCGTAGCTGATCCGCGATGCCCCGATCAACTCCATCAACCAAGACCGGGGCGCGAACCGGTCCAAGGCCGATGGGGTATGACTTTGACCAAACTAAGCGCGCATCGCGCTCTAAGATTCCGCCCGTCGTCGGCACCCCTAGCTTACCGTCGGCGGACACTGGCAGCACCCGAGCCGTGGTCACAATTTTCCAAGCGAACTCAGCAGACTCGTGCGACCCTATAATCGAGCGTTCCTGGACTTCCAAGTCGTCTCTGCATTCTAGCACTCACGCGCGAGTTTCTGCTTCTCAGTGGAACTCTTCGCCATCCTTTCCGGAGGAGTACTGTAGCCCTGCTTGACTATTTTTACCAGCGGATCTGGGCACTACGTGGGAAAAATTAAACTTTGCTTTAAACTAATTATACGAGTATGTACTTGGGCAGGTGTCAGCACAAAAGAGGCAGATTAGTTTTTCTGACGCAGCCACATTGCCATCGCAGAACAAAAATCCAGTCGAGGCTGTTCTTCGACGTCAATCGGATTCGTGGGATCGAGATAATTAATCATTGTGCTACCCTCTGCCCCCTACGACGCGGTCGCGATACGGCCAGCGTGCCGGTGCATTCGGACAGCGAACACCAAGAATCAGGGAGGACGCGTTCTTTCTACCGAATATCCTATGCGTTCGTAGGAGACCGAAGTGCTCAACGAATCGGTATAGCCATCTCGGATGCCCAGGGGCATTCTGATGAGGTGTCCGAAGACGACCTGTGCCCGTCAGACCGCTGGACGCGTACTATGATGATTGGGACTTGCATTCCATCATCGTCCGACCTCGCTGTTTCTCGTCAGATCCAGCCCAGCACGTCCCACACCATCTGATTCTCCTTGCTCAGTCCGACAAAACTGATGCGAGAGTAACGGGGTGAGGCCTTACGCGGGAAGCCGTTCGTAAGCTCCAGCCGGTAGACATTTGAATAAACGCTGACCATCTCCTACATTATTCGCGGGGGCTGACCGGAGCGTCCATCTTTCTTGAGTTGAACATCCGAAAGTCGAAGGAGGCGGGGATCGAGACTTTTGCTTTGGTGTCCCTGTCTGAGCTACTGCACAAATTGAGTTGGATCGGAGATCTGTAATGTAGGGTCCAGCTGCGAGACAATATTTTGGATCATTGATTTCAGCAGCAAGAGATACTTCCGATCGAATATCATAGCATAATTGTTGTGATGACAGAACATGTGACCGCGTTGCCAGCAAGCACGTGATTTACCATGGTGAACAAGTTGAAAATTATTGGCATGGCCCCAACATTGGGAAGAAAAGAGACGCCAGCCTGATCGAAGCGAGAAGCACGCAGAGAATGGTGCTGTAAGAGCTGTGATCGTCGTTCTCATGAAGCAAAGCTACTGCCATAAATCCGCTAACATGATGCGCATGTATGGGCCGCACAACCTAGTGACGACTGGCATGACCTCGACCCGGGGTACTCTGAAAATACACCACACTGCCTGTTGAAGAACATAAAATCCAACCGAGACAGTTCTTCCGTGTCAATCGGGCTCGTGGGATCGAGATAATCATTGCGCTATCCTCTGCGGCCTCCGAAAAGTGCATTCCGCCAGCAAACACTAATGATCGGGGAGGAAATTTTCGTTCTACCGTATAAGCCTCTCGCTAGTCGGAGACCGAAGGGCTCGGTGAGTCGGATTCGCCATCTCGGACTGCCAGCGGTGTTCTGATGAGCTGTTCGAATACGTCCTGTGCCCGGCAGCCCACCGCGTACTACTGTGATTGGGACGTGCCCATCAGGGCGCCGCCGCTCGGCCTCGTGCTCACTGGCTAGGTCACGCCCAGAATAGACCCCCACCGTCTGATTCTCCCCGCTCAGTCCGACAGAACCGATGCGGTGTCTCAAACACTGGCCTGACGCGAGAAGCGACTGTGAACTCAAGTCCGCTGGTATGTATGAAGAAGAGCTATGAAGGGGCTCTCGTCCTCTCAAGCATTTAGTGCTGTACTTGGTCGTGACGTGATCTTTCCTGGCTCAAGATCTGAAGATCGAAAGACGCGGGGGCCGGGTCTTCTGCGTGAATCTTGCGGTTCTCTTTCAGTGTAAGCCGCTCCTCCAGTCTAAATTGAACGCAGATCTGTCGACGCTGCAGTCAAATTGCGAGATAAGGGGTGTGAACACTTGCCGTAATTCCAGAACATGTGACCGCGTTGCCACAGCACGTGCTTGACGATGGGGAACGTGGTTGTTGACATGGCCCAGTTCCTTGCCGACCAGGAAACGCAGTGGGAACGAAAGAAGAAGACGACCTGATCGATCCGACAAGCATACGGAGGATGCCGCCCACAGCGCGCGATCGTCGTGTTCATACAGCAAATCCGGTGCCGTAATTCCGCTGACATGAGCGCATATATGGGCCGCACTACCTGACGACGGCCATGACCTCGACCGCCCGGGCTGCACTAGACATCCTTCCACCCGAGCTCTGGGACGCCATACTCTCAGAGTTTGACGACCCAAATCCGCACCTGCTTCTCCCCCTCTCGCTCGTCTGCCGCACATTCAATCAGCTCGCGATATCGCGTCATCTCGCCCTCGCCCATGTCTCGCAGGAGGATCTCGCCAACGGCCGGATGTCGATTGCAGGCGACGGTGTGCGGGTTCTGCAGTACGCCCCAGGCCTTGCGGCGAGCCTGACGACTCTGGAGTGCACGCATTTGGTCGATCATGGTCTGGCGAGAAATCTGCGGCTGGTCCGCAGGCTGGCCCCAGGATTGGAGGAGCTGCATCTCCGCTTTGCGCACGACCTATTGGAGGAGGAGTCGCACCACCACGACGCCGTGCCGATCGTGTGTGAGGTGGTGCGCGCGCTCGCCGCTCGCAGCAGTGGTGTTATCGTGATGGCCAAGGAGGCGCTGTTCCGGTGCCTGCCTGAGGACGTGGCGGAGTGGCAGCTACATACCGAGCCCATCCGGACGTTCATGCTCAAGCCCAAGCAGAAGCAAGGTTTTCTAGTGATACGGGATCGGGACGCGCAGCCCGTCAAAGTCAGGCTTGTGTCCGAACTCGAAGCGGTGTCGCTGCGGTTGGTGCAGGGTGTGGATGGGAAGCGGATTGCGCTCGTGGTCTTCAATGCCGCGTCTATCGAGTCCCGGAATCTCACACTGGGCCCCACCGTCGGCACTGCGCTCAGCCCTTACTCCATGACGGGGGAGGACCTGAACGCAGTCTTGCCTCACCTCGTGCTGCCGGCGTTGCGGCACCTGTATGTCACCTCCGCTGCTGTAAAACCCCAAGCGCTATCGACGTTCCTTCTCTCGCATCCCAACCTCGTCTTCCTTGGCTACGACTTGCCGGCGCAGACGAAGCCGTCGGTGGTGTTCATCGACCCGCCACTGGCCCATCCGAATCTGCTCTGCATCCGTGTAACGGATCCCGCGCATCTGGTACCTGTTCTAGACGGACTAGGGTCTTCCCCTCGCTTAGCTGAGATCGGATTCCACTTCATTCGGCCGAAGCCTGCGCCGCAGCTAAGCCTCATGAAGAGGCCGCCGAACGCGCTGACGGCCGCGCTCGAGCGGGTCGCGCAGCACCCGCGGGAGCTGCGACTCAACATCCGGCTGACCGGGCCGCAGGGCTCGTCCGTGATCCTGCGCACGCGCAGGACGCAGCGGCCGCCGGACGAAGACGAGCGCCGGGCGATGGCGGCGCTGGCGCACGTGCACCGCATCGACGTGGACTGTGCGTCTGTCGGGGCTGCGCGGGCGCTGCTTCCGTGGCTGGACCTCGTCCCTGCGCTGCGCAAGGTCGAGTTCCGGAGCACGACGGGGATCTTTGCGTGGGGCGGCCGGCCCGGGCACCGGAGTCTGCACGAGGACACGATTGAGTTTATGGACGACGCGATGAAGGGGCTGCCGAGGGTCAACGAAGTCGTGGTGAAGGAGACGCCAGTTTTCATCCGTTGAATTTGCTTATGTATCTGTATGTACATTGCGTTACGAATCAGGAGCTGTTGTAAGTAAAGCAGGACGATGTGCGTGGTCACGGTCGTCACAACGATCGCGGGCCAGACGCGCTTGCTCTGTACCTTGGCCTCATATGGAACCCAGATTGCCCCCCGAGCTGGAACGCCATATATTTGAGATATGCGCCCTATCTCACCCGATGAGAGTCTCCGCGCTCATGCGCGTAGCTGACAGAGTCCAAGAATGGCGAGGACACGTCATTCATCGCTCGCGCTTGCCCTGCAGCTGATTCTTTCCGCCCGTTCTTAGGGTAGAGCCCATGCTATACACCACGCTCCTCAGCAACAAACACGGCTACTCGCCTGACTCCGTCCCCCGGAGTAATTCCAGAGTGTTGCACCGCTTGCTCAACGAGAAGTCTCAACCGTGCCGCGACGCCGTGCGCCATGTCATTCTGATCCACATCGATCCGGTCTCCGACGTGCTGGGGAAGTGCTCCCTCATCGAGGACGCGTTCGTTCTGTGCCCGCTCGAGGAGACCGTGCTCCCACGCCTCCAGCAACTGCCCCATCTGCGGCGTCTGCACTGCGACGCGCACATGCTCACGTACCTCGACCGATCTGGCGGCATCCTCCCGGCGCTGACGCACCTCGAGGTCCTGCGGGGCACGTTCGAGACGCCCGCGCAGCTGCGCGCGCTCGCCGAGCGGATCCCGCGCCTGACGCACTTCGCGTGCAACCAGCTCCGCGAGCACGATCTCGCGCTGTGTGTGCAGATCCTGCAGCGAATCCCGGCGCTCGAGGTCTTCGTCATCATCGACGTGCTGGACGATCTGGTGCTACTGAGCCCCGAGCGCGAGGCGGTGTTCGAGGGGAATCTGCGGCTGGTGTGGGTCTCGATGGCGAGTTACGTGGAGGACTGGGTCCAGGGAGCTATAGGCCGCGTGGACTTTTGGCAAAGGGCGGACGAGCTCGTTCAGAGACGCACGTCCGGGACCAGCGAAGACGGTGCGTTCCGTGTGTGATTGATCTCAGCCTGGATGTTAAGTGACATGTTCTCTAGCGCGGCGATTCAGGATTTACTGCGCAGATGTAGGTGATTGATTGGCATAACGCTGGAGCGTTGATCATATTCATCATGTACTGCTTGGGTTCTGTTTATACATTCGAAGAGTCCGCTCTACGCGCTGGGATCCAGCAACTGGAACTGCTGCTCCTTCTTGCCCGCCTCCCGGGTCTCGAGCGTCAGCTACCCGGCATCCGTCAAACCCCAGAAACACAAAATGAAGGGAGCATTGACGCACCATGCCTCCGGCAGAGGAGGTAATCGCAAGCTTGCGCGTCGCCTTGTCGAGGATACTGCAGCAAGTCAGTATCTAGCATATTTGGCCAGCGCGGATCGACAGCGCACTTGTATCCGTTGTGCCCGACCTGCACCAGATGGATGTCCCAGAAGGTGCTCTCGGTGGTGTCTTGCACGCCGGCGATCGTGTCAGGCTTTCCGCCAGTCGAGGCGTGGTGCCACAAGATCGAGTTGTTTGCCGAGGGCGCGCCGCTCACGATCTGGTACGCCTCCGAGTCGGCGGACATCGAATAGTAGAATTTCCACTGGGATTGGGATGTCAGCTGAGCGACAGAGGTACCGGCGACGTTCTCTGCGCGGGACGCACGTTCTGGTTTACGCTGCTCGAGTTCGCCACGGCTTGGACGCGCGTGAGGTTCTGGGAGCTACCGCCGGCGAGTTCGAGCATCCGCGACTGGTAGTCCTGGATCTTGAGCGTCGTCGGAGCCAAGGCGTAGGTCGATCCGGCGGCGGAGAGCAGGAGAGCGAGGAGAGGTTGCATGACAAACATTGCTGGAGAATGAGATTGAGATCGAGAGTAGAGTGGGTTGGTGGTTGGATGTGCAGTGCAGATGCGCTGAAAGCTGAATCCCGTCCTTCCCTCTCTTATATACTCTCGCTCGACGCGCCCAGCTAGCCGCATTACGACCTACAATGGCACCACTGACGTCTTTCACCCTGCCGCATATCACAAGGCTGAGCAGCCAGGGTGATCTGCCCACCCGGCTCCCTCACCCTCAACCCTCTTCGCGGTGTCACTTCCGTAACGACATCGCCCAGCCCTTCCGAGATGAATCCGCACCGGAAAAATGCAAACTGAGCGGTCTCCCCCTCCCCCGTCCATGTACCGTGTTTCAGGATGCAGAAACAAACTCAAGCCAGGGCCAGAGAAGAAGCCATCGGGGTGGGATGATCCGACTCGGGTTCAGCTGTCCAAACACGACCACGCACAAGCCTACGAACGCCTGGTCGACTGTGAATCGTGCCGCACTCACGCATGTTGGGAGCTGTGCGCCTGGGCCGAGCTCCACGTCCCTTCGTGCTTTCTCGGAGCACGACGGTCTCAGATCATTTCATCACCGAGTGACCGACGTCCTTGCGCCACTCCTACGAGTAACCCTGCTCCCTGCCTGCCATGCTGCTTCAAGCGCGGACGCGGCCACACATCGCCGTCTCCCATGCAGCTCCACTCTCGCCGCACCCCAAAGCGCTTCTTCGATGTCGCACGCACGCGGTCGTGAGCCGCCACATGTCCGGGCGGACGGAAGGGTCATCGAGCGGGCCGAGGGAGGGTGCCCGGTTGCCTGTGGAAGCCTAGCCTTCATTCTACGTACCTACCTACCTAACGCGCATCCTGTCACGCGGACGGATGGATTCGCCTTCTACCTTGGCTGTGCTGTGCAGACGGGCATTACTGGCCGCGTGCGTGGGACACGGGCGGAGCAGACCGCTCTGGCCTGCTGGCTTCTTGTCTTCGACATTCGCATTGGCATCGGCGGTGCAAGGAACCGACGCGGTGGCCTGTCAGATCACGAGCTGGCTCCGGGTGCTCAGCCCCGCTCCGTTCCGGTCTTGACGTCAGGCTCCAGGCTCGTCGCGCGTGCGGTAGGGTCTTCCTGCCCTCGTGCGCTTTGTTCTCTTTCCCCTCGGGTGCCAATATCATGATCTGTTCAGCCGTGGTGTCTAATCGCGGTCATCTGCTGCGACTTTCAATCGTTTTTATGGGCAGCCACGGACCATTTCATCCGTGGCCTCTCATCGTGAATGATCATGAACGCACGACGGGTAAAGTTTCATGTTCTGGAGCTCCCATGATGGCAGCAAACTACTTTCGCTGGGATAACTTGGCCGGCCTTGACCCAGGGATACTCGCAAGTTGTGCGACAAATCTACAATTGATATTCCGGAGCCTCTCGCTCAAGAGGACTAGATGAACCAGTTGATGATGAGAATGTACAGATTTCATTATCTAGGTAGTATTAGACAGAGTCATCTCCCGATGAACCGAGATCATGGTCCATTATTTCACATCCTGTGCGTAGAGAGCTGTTCGCTGAGAGGGGTGAAAGAGTGAGTGTCCAGGCTCGTTCATACAATAACTACCAAGTTTTCCTGACTTTCCAGCTACCTGTAGTCTCCATAGTCCCCCCCTCGCCCTGAGATCCTGAACTCGAGAATTGATTGCTTGGCATCGCACATACGATCGTGCGGCCCAAACAATACAAGTGAACACAAAGTCCCCGGCCCAGATGCTGAACCCTGTCCGAGGAGGACATGGTCCTGCGCGGATCTTCACATCCTCCGGTCTGGACGGGAGCCGAGTAGATTCTCAGTGCACACAGCCGGTGTACATACTTACTGCTGTAGTACTAGTCTGCCGTCGCTCAGCCTGACCAGATCATGTTCTAGGCGACGGAGACATTCTGTGGGGTCATATGAACATCGCACATCAGTACAATTATGCCAAATGGGTGGTGCGCGAGACACTGGGGCCCCAGATTTGCATATCAGGTGCTGCTGCTTGGGATCTCACTCCCAGGGCGTGCTGGTTCGTACGAGACGGAAAGTTTCGAGCTCCGCGGCATGTGCATGTTTCAGATCTTCGAACGCGCATCCCCCATCCCGTAACAGAGCCCTGAAATTATGAGTTGGCGCTTGGTTCACCTCCAACAAACGTCTGTCTTAGCTCTACGATCAGATGAAAAACCTCAAACGGTGCAGCTCAGTTCTCACTCGGCGCGGTTGACGATTGACGGCGTTCGCGTGGGAAGATAGAGCGCGTCCGCGGTGGCACTCGACTTGAGTTGATAGCGATGAGCAACTCCAAGTCAGAAGCTCCTCGCGAAGACGCCCCTGGCCGGTCCTGTTCTACTTCCGAGCCCAAAGTTCTCCAGTCCCAGGGGCACTGCCAGAAGAGCTAAGCGGATCGGCGCCCCTACATTCTTTTCATCTTCCATGCGTTGAATTCCATCTTGACCGCCGATGCTTTGCGATTTTGCATATGATTCTTCCTCGTCGGCTGCCGCTGGATTTGGGTGAAAGCACCATCGGGCACCAGGACCACTGCGATGTCCATCTCAGCCTCCGCCGCGTGCACAGATTCTTCAACACAATCGGCCGTCTAGTCCCACAGAGAGCCTTGCGGCAGCGGGTGAAGGATCCCCACAGAGCTGCCGTTAGCATCATCGACGACGTTGACGACCAGAATGCCTGGCAGCCGTGCCATGACATATAGGCTCGCATCTTCCCTCTAAAGTAGCTTCAGCCGATTCTCCTCCAAGTATTCCAAGGCACCGACTATAGATAGCAGACGATGAGGGCTCAAGAGCCGAAGGATACACACCAACATCCTCTTCGCCGCTTAAAAATGGCCTAGATTCCCGCCCCATTCTTCCGTTCGTCCGAAAAGCGGCTGCGGGCAGTGCCCACAAAACCGGTGTGCAGATACCGGATCCGAAAGATGGCGGCTCTGGATGAGAGCTCGTCCGTGCGTCATGGAAGAGCCGGGACCGCGCACGCGGTCGGGGATGCGGTGAATGTACCATGGATTTGAATGCCGGTCGTCATCCATGAGAGAGCGAACCATCGGTAGAAGCGGGCTGCGGAATCAAAGCGCGAAAGAGCGAGTGCGATGGGAGAGGATATTTCTGAGTCATCCGACTGACCTGTATCGCAAGGAAGCACATTGGAGAGCCGATAAAGCAACCGAGACTCGGATCGGTCGTGACCCGGGGAAGTAGTCTAGGGATTGATACTGGTGGGGATTTCTAACTAGATTCGGAGTTCAAAACCGTTGATCGCACGCCAGACTTCGACGTCCGGCATCTCTCATCAAGATTGATCACTTTCCCGCGGCCAACTGTCACTTTTCGAACTCCGAGTGGACTGTGGACTGTTGCGGACTGCAGCGACATCCCGGCCATCAAATTCCGCTCCAAAAATAGGTGGCTGTGGTGTGGTAGCCACCTCCTTCGACCAGGTCCGTTCGTTCACATACCGATACCAGTGAGTTCATCGGCGACAAAGCGCACCCAGATCCATTTCACTCAGTACACAATCAATGTTGGAGGTGTGATGGCTACCCAGGCAGAACGAACATTAGGGTCGGTAAGTTACGCAGCCGTCCGTCGCGTCCAGCTCGATCACCGGTCTATCTCGAGGTGAACACTCATCTGAAACTTAGTAAAATCAGTTTCGATTTCTAACCCAATTCGTGTTGTACCACCGGCGAGCGAGATACCCGATTCCCACGTCTCGTCGGGCCTATTGACGCCGGGTTGGATACCGAAGTGTGCGGCATTACACTGCATACATACATACTAAAGACGTGGGCTGCGGCTACCCTAGTCATCTCCAACTTCTCTCTCCCGATCTTGCCATGGCTGCCCCTAGTCCACCGCTCACGCTAGAATTTGCGACCAACAGCGTGCGGAACACCACCCTCTCGTCCGGGTCCGACGATCCGTACTACGAGATCGTCACCCGCTTCTGGCACCCGAAGATCACCAAGATACGCCGCCTCGACCAGGGCACGCGGCTGATGTCGACCGTCTGCGAGATCGACGCGGGCCCGCACGGGCGCGCAGCCAAGGTGCGATTCGCCGAGCCCTCCCCGCTGGCGCTGCACGACAAGGAGCTGAACTGGGGCGAGTGGGTCGACTCGGAGGCGCTCATCAAGATGGCCGAGGGCAAACAGTGAGTGCCACTGCATAACGCCCGTGTTGGGTCATTCCCATCCCATTGACGCCCGGCGACAGAGGCGGGATCTTCGTGGACACGGACGGCACGGAATACCGCTGGAAGACGCAGAAACGCAAGTTCCAGCTTGTGCGAGTCGGCGACGAGACGCAGAATCCCGTCGTCACGTTCCACGGCCACAAGCGCCCGCTTGGCGTGTGGTGGATGATGTCTGAACACTCTAAATTGGAAATACGCCCGCCGATCCAGGATCTCGAGAAGTTGATCGGTGAGTTGCGGTCAAGCCTTTTTTTAGCATAAGCTGAGTAACTTGGCTGCTGCAGTCACATTTTTGTTGGTGGAGCGTAAGCGTCGGCATAGCCACTTTTAATCTCTCGAGTGCCGTCCACTCTTAGACGAGACATGCGTTGAAGGATCGGGTGGACTTTGGACTGAGCCAACCGCATTGATTACATTCCCGGCACCGCGGCAACAGCTCGTCCCGAAGGTTCGAGATCTTCATGTCAGTAGTTAGTTATCATCCATATGGTTGAGGTCAATCTTCTTATCTGTGAGCGCATGAAAAAACTTTCTCGTGTAACTCTACGCTGTGTCACCACTCTCTACTGCTTTGGATCCTTTTTCACCAGTACAGATGATCTGGAGGGGCTCACTGAAAGTGCCGCGGAGTGCCGCAGGAGCACTCCTGCGGTACTCCTGCGGTACTCCAAATACTCCACATCATTGATCTCGACGACAACAACAACGATCAACATACTATCCACATCGGCCGAGTCGTTGATGGACGTGGGAGTGATCCGCGCAGGCAGCGGGACTACTGCAGACGCCGTTGTCGTCGGCGGCAGCGATCGAGATCCCACTCCTGCGGCACTCCAGAACATTGTGCCGCAGACTCCACAGCACACCGCGGCACTCCTGCGGAACCTCTGGCAACACTCCAAACAAGTCTGCGGCACTCCAAAAGAGGCTGCGGCACTCCAGTGTGACGCATGTGACATCTCTGCGGCACTCCAAAGCACAGCCACTCTCTGGAGAGCGCCGCAGGCACATCCAACACTGTCTGCGCTAGTCAATCCCTAATACTTTAACATGAATTAGTCGAATTTCAATATAATTGAATATGTAGACGTCCTGAAAGCCTGTTTTTGGATCGTAGGCCTCTATGATGCCTGGGAGGTGATTGTCTCGAGCTCGTTGACCACCGGAAGGGTGGACTTGACTTAAAATTACAGAGAACATTTTTCATCACGAAAACACTCTCAAGGGCTTGGAATACCACCTATTCGGTACGATTCATGTTCAAAATGGATACAAAATGAGTTATACACATTCTAGTGAAGCTGAATCCATGAGGTATTGTATTGTTTCGACATTTGGGCAATGGTGAATGCCTCTAACCATTGTAGAAACCGATAAATCAGATTTATAGACTGTCCTCGACCTTGTTCTGGGCTCTGCAACGAAGTGGACTCACAAGAGTGAGCAAAAACGGCCGCTCAGAAAGCCATCAAACCACATTGATGGGACATCAGCGCCGCGAGGACCATTGCTCAGAAACACGGGTGACAATGCCTTGGCCTGGCGATCATTCTTCTTGAGTGTTTTCAATGAAGTTGTAGAAACATGAATATGTAAGTATTCTGCCTCGTGGGTTGCTGCGGCACTCCAGCGTGACATCTGCGGTGCGTGACAGAAATCCTGCGGCACTCCAGGCTCGAGCCTGCGGCACTCCAAATGTTTTGCGGCGCTCCAACGGCACTCCGCGGCACTTTCATGTAGCCCGATCTGGAGGAGGTGGTCTCTTCTATAATGATACTGCACGCTGATTCGTCCCTTTTTGCATTTCATCAGCTCTGAAGCGACGTTTTGACCTGGCAAAGAATGCTCCGACAACCTCAAGCAGCGGTCATTTGATTTCTGGTCCTCACAGCGGTCGGTGTCTTGCCTCCTCTGAAGCCGTTCCGAAACTGAGTACCTCAACGGCGGCCACTGCGAAAGTAGAACCTTATTTTCGATTGATAGACTGAAGCGAGCTTGCGTAAATTTTCCGGGCGAGTCTGTTCCCCTCGGGAGTGATGTGTTCTGCCTGATTGTGGAGGGTTGGTACACACCGGGAAGAGATGGACCATTGATTTGAATCAAGGACTTGTAATGGATGTTCTCTGATGATCTTCGGAATCATTGATCAGATTTAAAAATCGATCATGGCCTTCATGGTGTTTCATGAGCTTGCGCGAAACGTAGCTGTAGTCCCTCAAAGGAGTCTCCCACTCAGAAGAAGATCGCGCTTTGAATTGACATTGTACTCCTGTGGCGGCACATGGTCGAGGTAGCTGCGGTCGACTCGGAGGATGAATTGAACAGTGAGCTGAAAAGCGTGAAGCATGAATCTAAAAACAAGTCGTCTGCATCTGAGCATAACAGGTTCCTGGTTTTTGGTGATGAAATGACGTCAGTCCAATATCGCACACATAACGACCGTGACGGATCCGGCCTTGGACCCTGCCGCATAGCCTTCTAACCGTCCAACCGATTGATTACTCATTCGCGCTGCCAACCGTCCGTCCCTTGTATTTAGGATATCGCCAGCGGCACGACGTCCTCGACCATCTCATCGACTCCACTCTCCACTCTCCCATGGACGCCGTTCTCGCGCTCGCACCACGACGGCTCGTCGTGCGCACGCTGTGCACGCTCGCAGTCTCGACCGCCGTCTATGCAGGCTACACCCTCGCCGCAGCCCTCTACCGCCACTTCACTTCTCACCTGCGACTGCTGCCGGGCCCCGCGTCGACGCATTGGTTTTGGGGGAACAGTCGGGAGCGGATCGCTGATGTGTGTCGTTGTGCTTCCTCTGAATCTTAGATTGGTTCCCCCGCTGAGGCTTGCTGTGCGCTAGCAAGATCGTGGGCTCCTGGACGAATGGGCGAAGCTGTATGGACGCGTGTACAGGACCCGGCGGATGATGGGCGGGTACAACCTCGTTATTACCGACACGAAGGCCATCCATCATTTCCTGACGCAGACCGGGGTGTACCAGAAGTCGAAGATGATGCGGTCGATGCTGGGGAGGATCGTGGGGCCTGGTGCGGTTGCACTATCTGTTGTCTCTCTGTAGGTCTTATTTATGCCAGGGATCTTGGTCGTCGAGGGCGAGCAACATCGGAATCAGGCAAGTACTCGTGTTTCGCTCTAAAAGCAACCTCTCTTGACGCGATAGCGTCTAGCGCAAGATCATGAATCCTGCATTTGGTCTCCCGCAGGTTCGGGAGCTGACGGAGATCTTCATCCAGAAGTCTGTCCAGGTGCGTGACTACTCAAATATCGCTCGCCGCGCAGACTGAGTTGACAAGTTGCGGGATGTCTGGCTGGCCGCGGCAACATCGTCCCCCGAAAACGCTGCTTCCGTCGAAGCCTTGTCTGCACTAAGCAAGACGACACTCGACATCATTGGCCTCGCCGGGTTCAATCACGACATCAATGCCCTAGCGGCAGACGCTCACACGCAACCCGACGAACTCGCCGATGCGTTTGAAAAGTTATTCGAGGCCGAAACCGGTTTTGACCTTCTCGGCCTGTTTATTTCGAGAGTGCCGCTAATGAGCAGATTGGTTTGTTCTTGTGTCCAGTTTTCCGCGCTCCCATTCATGTGTGCTCCAGCCTACGAAGCAATATCGCACCACCAAGGCGGCACAGGCCCGCATGATCGCTAGTGGTCGCAGACTTCTCGCTGAGAGCAAGCGAGAGGTGCAGCAGAACGGGTCGTTTGCCAGTGGCACTGGACGAGCGAGAGATCTGTTGGCGCTTCTCGTGAAAGCGAACATGGACAAGGACATCCCAGAGAGCCAGCGTTTGAGTGATGAGGATGTTCTAGCTCGTGCGTCACTTGCTTTATCTCCACTTCGCTCAAGCTGACTCTGCTGCAGAGGTTCCGACCTTCTTGGTTGCTGGGCACGAAACTACTAGGTGCGATCTTCACACTGCTATAAATATTGGATTCTGAGATGCCATCAGCACCGCTGTGACCTGGGCACTGTTTGCTCTGACTCAGCACAAATCCGTCCAGGACCGCCTTCGCGAAGAGGTTCGCGGAGTCGCCACAGACTTCCCGACATTCGATGAGCTCAACTCGCTCCCTTATCTCGACTGCATCGTCAAAGAGACCTTGAGGTTGTATCCGCCTGTGACGCAAACCAGTCAGTGCAAGCAGTTGCTCATTCGATGGACATTGACTCGTAGATAGGCCGAGTGGCAGTAGTCGATGACGTCCTACCGCTGGAAGAGCCGTTTACAGATATTCATGGCATCGCGCACAGCAGCCTTTTGTCAGTATGCAACCTTTCAGCGGAACGGAAGCTCATGATCGTGCAGAGTCAAACAGGGACAGATTGTTTTGATCCCGATTGCGATGCTCAACCGGGATAAATCTATATGGGGCGAAGACGCTCTCGAGTTCAAGTTTGTTTTCACTTTTATGGCCCAACCGCGATTCACGCTCCGCAGACCCGGACGGTGGGACTCATCCATATCTAACTCGATCCCCGGCATCTACTCGCACATGCTGACATTCATCGGCGGGCCGCGGAACTGCATCGGGTATCGCTTCGCCTTGGCTGAGATGAAGGCCCTGCTGTTCACTCTCGTCCGGAGCCTCGAGTTTGAGCTGGGCGTACCCGCTGAGCAACTCAGCCAGAAGGGCACAGCGATTGTGATGCGCCCGATCGTGTTGAGTGAGCCGGAGAAGGGGAATCAGCTGCCGTTGATTGTCCGTCCAGTCTCGTGGACACCTTAAGCAGCATGTACTGTATGTGATAGAAGAAATCAGTCCCACTCTCCCGGGTGAAGCATCAGCAAAGCCGTCTTGACTCCATTACGACCGCAATGACTGGCCAATGACTGGGGTTCTACAAGCAAAATGTACTATCTTCGTCTGTTATCATGCCGAAACTCGAATGGGGCGATGAACGACTGAAGCGACGAGAGCTCGATGATTTCTCAGAGTGCCCAATCGTGCTGTGGGGTGACTAGGGCTACAAGCAACTGGTTTATAACCCGACGATTGTGATGGGTGCACGGCAATCGATCACGTGAAGGTTCGTTTGGGGGTTATGAGCTTTGCTTTCGCTAGCTTGCGCCACTGACGCTTGTGTGCATGCACCTTGCAGCCACATACAGAGGTCAGGGATAGATCGTTATGCCTATCTCAAATGCTGATTTGGGGCTCGAAGGAGTGGGTACCCTGCCAGTCATCTCCCGATCGTGACCGCGAGGGTCCCCACATGATCACCTGAGTACCCTGCCAGTCACCCATGTCTTGTGCATAAAACAAGAGTGTGGTCTGCTTCCAAATGCTCCCGCGCGCACGACAGAAAATCCAGCGATGTCCGACTCTATCGAATGCGGGAATGTCGACAACGGCAGCACGTTCATGGGGCTGCGCATCGCGTCGGTGTTCATCATACTCGTGTGCTCGACGGCGGGGACGATGTTTTCCGTCGCGGCGCAGCGCTCGACGTGGCTGCGAGTGCCTAAGCCGGTCTTCGAGTGCGTCGCTGCCTGCCTGGTTTTCTATCCCCTCAGGCTGACTTTGTGTCCGATAGGTTCGCCAAGTACTTTGGATCGGGTGTAATCATTGCGACCGCTTTCATCCATCTGTTATCACCCGGAATGGACGAGCTTTCCTCTCCGTGCCTGTCCCCGGCGTGGTTAGACTACGTCGGTGTTTCTCTCCTGGTCGGGTGATCGTTGAGGGCTGACAGCCCCTTCACAGCCCTACGCGCTCGCGTTCTGCCTCCTCAGCATCATGTCCATTTTCCTCGTCGAGCTGATCGCATTCCGCTGGGGAACCGCGAAGCTGAAGAGGATCGGGGCCAGCCACGGTGCGTCCCGCGCATTCTCACTCATGCTCCTCCCATCTGCGAGGCTGATCAGCACACACGTCCAGATCCGCACGGCCATCGATCCGACTATTCCCATGCCGCACACGGACCGGAGACCTCTGCTGTTCCTGCCCAGGCTGCGGTCCCCTTCGCCTTGGCACCCAAGGTCGACTCTTACAGTGGCAGATCAGATCCTGAGAGTGGCGAGGCTGAGCTCAAGGTTGGTCTGTCGAACATCGATGACTCGGTGGCGGCGCGGATCTTGGGCATTGCGATCTTGGAATTTGGGGTGCTGCTTCACAGGTGCCCATCTCTTTGAGACCTTGCCCACGCGTTCGATTTCTGACATGCTTGCGGCGTAGTATCCTCATCGGCCTGACTCTCGCTGTCGATCCGAACTTCAAGATCCTGTTCGTAGTGATCATCTTCCACCGTGAGCCGCTCTGAATCCGAACCAATATACGTCGTCGACCTTCTGATCCGCCACCCAGAGACATTCGAGGGGCTCGGTCTCGGATCCCGGCTCGCCTCGCTGCACGACACTCTGCCCCCGACCTACCACTTGGTGCCCTACCTCGCGGCGGCCGTGTACGGAATCAGCACCCCCATCGGCATCGCCGTCGGGCTCGGCGTCCGCTCGACCTACAACCCGGGCGGGACCACCGCCAGCATCGTCAGCGGGATCCTGGACTCTCTCAGCTCCGGTGTGCTGATCTACACTGGTTTGGTCGAGGTGCGTGGATTTTCGTCTCGGTGTTGTATTTCTCCGAAATCTGACTTTCGTAGCTGCTCGCACATGAGTTCCTCTTCAACAAGGAGATGATCAACTCGAGCAACGGGAAGCTGGCTTATGCCATTTGCTGCATGCTCCTGGGCTGCGGGATCATGGCGCTGCTCGGACGATGGGCTTGAGACTATCAAACTAATTCCCCAGTATTTAAAAAGTAGAGCTATGCTTCATATGACCCCTCTGTCTTCAACACGGCCCATTGGCACACTCCTTGCGACAACGGTCTGCAATCGATAGCAGTCCCGGGCAACACTCGAGAAGGAAGCAGCCTTCATTGTTGCAGAACACATTGATCCCGAAGTCCGGAATGCATCCTTGCGGTGGGAGGGGCACGAGCGCATCGTTGGTGCATCTGTGCATTACAGCTCAGAATCGAGAGAGTTTTGAAGCGGGTAAGGGACTCACTTGTACTGCCACGGCGAGTAACACGCGGCTCCGCAGCGGAGGTATCCTACGCGATCGACGATAGGGCAGAGGAAGTTTTGGTCGATGCAAACATACTGCCCTCGGGGATCAATAGATCACGCAGACCATCGTATCCCGACTCACATCTTCAGGATGGAACTGCGCATCGCCGCACTGCTCCAAGGGGTTCGAGGCCCCGAACGTGGCATTGAAAGGCACGAGCGTCGTCTGGTTGCATCTGCAGACGAGTCAGTCGATCGCGAAAACGAGCGCGGGAGTCTGATCCTTGCGTGAAATGGCTGGTCGAGTAGCACGTGTCCCCGCATCGGAGCAGGACATCCGCGTCGCTGTCTCCCTGCGGGTCGAGAATGGGGCAGAGGAAGTTGCCATCGTAGCAGGTCATCTGCGACCGGTCAGTTTCCACTGCGGGCCCGAGCTATCAGCTGCCAGTGGCTCACATCGACGGGATTGTACTGCGATGCGCCGCAGTTGAGTAGCGTCTGCGCGATGGCAGCGGTGGCTATGAGCGCGGTGAGGATGAGCAGCGCGAGGCGAGACATTGGACGCGAGGACAGGGCTGGACTGGTGGCACTTGCAGGTCACTGCGGATAATTCAGGCGCACTCGCAGTTTATATAGTACAGGCGTTGTGTTGTCTGAGATGGTTATCCAACGCGCTTGAGATCATAGTGACCGCTGAACGAGCCCCATATTCCTGTGCCCGTGCTTCTGATACATCTGGAATTCGAAGCTGGGAGGCGGACTGGCGTCTTATTTTCAGGCAGGCACGACGTGCGACCGATTTGACTAGGCCCCAACTGTCAAATGCACGTAGATGAGCGGGGGATACATCGGCCGAAAGACGCACGTGCCGTCACCGGTCACGATCACGTATCACGTGATATTTCACGTCATGGCCCGCTTGCGCCGCTGATCATTCCGTCTTCGACTTCTCTGGTCAGCTGAACCGCTCACCTGCCCGAACCAGTTGTCGTCTCCTATAAACTTTGATGCGAAGCTTGAAAATATCGATACTGACGAGGTTTGCCTGGGTAGTAGCGATGTGTGACTACAGCAGAAAGCGCCCCATCTCAGATCCTCCTAGTACTCGATACCCACAAACACACTGTTCTGTCCAGAATCCAAAATCGAAGCAGCGCGCTCTGAACCTGTGGCCACAACGCCTATTGCCACGTGCCCGCGTACGTCGCATGACGTCGCAAGCGAAGCCGCGCTACTTAAATGTGCGAAGCCCCACAGGGCTTGGCGACGCCCCGTTCCCCAATGCTCGCGATACTCCCGCTGATTTCTGCCCTCGCGGTCCTGGCGCAGGCGCAATCCCAATGCCCCGACTTTGCGGTGTACTCGCAGGCAAGCACCGCCTTCTCGCGCACCGCGGGAATACAGCGCTCGATCGCTCACGCTCGGTCACTGGCAGACGCCTCAGGGCAATCCGTCAACGGGACCGCTGCGGCTGCCATTCATGCGCCCGAGTCCGGCCTGTCGAACGTTCAACAGCACGGCGGTCGAGGTTAGATGGCTGTCACTGGCTGTGGATTACTGAGCGAGCCCGGCGGATGACAGAAAGTGGTGACGGATATGAAAGCACGTATCAAGGATCCCGATTTGGCGCGGCTGTTCGAGAACACGTTTCCCAATACGCTGGGTGAGTTCTCGCGTATCGGCTCCTATGTGGGCGGAGATCTCAGGCTTGGAATAGACACGACTGTGAAGTACTTCAATGCGGTGGGTGTGTCCCTGAGATCGTGAAGATTGCATATGAAGACGGGTTCCAGACTGAAAATCTGGCGTTTATCATCACTGGGGTATAGAATTTTCATCTCCTCCTTCACTTGCGTATTGACCGGTCGACAGGACATCACGTTCGTCGTTCCCACTGAACTAAATATGACCAATCCAAACTGAAGGGCGTCTGATAGGGCGCAGTGGTTGCGAGACACGGCGAATCAGGTGTGCACGGTTCTCCCGCTCTGATGCTGACAGCAGCTGACCCGTCGTGCCCTAGTTCGCCGCGTACAGCTCTCTCATCTCTCTCGATCCATCTTTGGCTGTGCTGATGAAGGCTGTGATCAACAACGAAGCGCGATATGTCTCGCAGTATCCTTACTGTTCGTCGCTGCTCCGATCAAACCTCGCGTGTGAGCTCAACTGAGGATCCGTCTATAGGCGGATCATTCCAGCCGCCACCGGAATCTGGACTGGCGCCGAGTTTGAATGGACACGCTGTTCTCGTCGAAGTCAATCCGTGCGTACCGCCACCATCGGGGTCTGCTCGAGCTGACCTGGTGGCTGCTCTAGTCCCGTGAACAACCAGACTGTTTTCGAGTGCAAGGTATATCTTCTCAGGTCCTGTCTCGCTTCGCTGAGTCTGGTCACAGTACGAGATTGACTCCCTCTGTGGATTCCTCAAGCTTTCGCGGTCGTATTATTCCGAGACCAAGGACGTCTCGTTCATGGATTCCAAATGTTTGACGCAAAGTTTGATTTTCGGCCAGCGCTCATTGGATATACGCAGGGTTCGACGCGATTGATCAAATTCTGACTGTGGTCGACCATCAGTCTCAAGCCTCATTCGATGCCGATTTCAACTGGATTTCTTACTATAATTTCACTGGGCTAGATGGATCTCTGGAACCTGCAGTCGCGAATGGAGGAAACGGCGAGCCCAAAGGATATACAGGCAAGTCAATCCTACCCTTGTCCCAGAAGATGTTGAAACCAGGACACTAGGCATGGTCGGAACGCACCACCGACCTTCCGATGACTTGAGCACCTACGCATTCCTGACACCGGCGAATGCAATGCTCTCAGTCGAGTTGGGGAATCTGGTCACGATCCTCACCGAGTCCGGCAAGTCCAAGACCAGCCGAGGGAAGAACGTGACCGCTTTGGCCAAGACGTGGAGCAAACGAGTCCATGATGCGATTTGGAACTCGACTGTAAGATGACACCGCAAGACGACAATGTAGGATTCATTCTCATGCAGGTCGTGAACAACATCTTTGCATACGAGACCAACGGCCTCGGCTCGCGATATGTGATGGACGATGCCAATGTACCGGTACGTAAATCTATCTCTCCTGGTCCCAGCGCGATTCTCATGAACGACCGCAGTCGCTGCTCTCGCTGCCCTACCTGGGCTTCCTGGACATGCACAACCCCACCTACGTCGCAACGCGGAAGCTACTCCTCTCGCGCATGAACCCGTACTTTGCCGCTGGCAAGAATTTCAGCGGGATCGGGTGCGTCCAGAGCTTTTTCCTGGAGTGAAGCCACACGGAGCTGAACGCCGGATATAACAGCGGCCCACACGTCGATGCGTGGAACCCGTGGCCCATGTCGCAGATTACGGCGATCTTTGGCACGGACGACGACAAGGAGATCCTCGACCGGCTGTCTCTCATCGCCAAGGCACGTTTTCCTGCCTCGATTGCATCGATCGCGTCGTTAACAATGTCCCTTACCCCTTACAGAACACGGCAGGACTCGGCCTGATACACGAGTCGCAGAGCATCTACAATTTCACCTCGTACACTCGCCCGTGGTTCGCTTGGGTGTGTAGTATCCATGTCCGACGAGGAAACCCGATTTGAACTGTTTGGCAGGCGAATAGTTATTTCGGCGAGATGATGCTGGACTTGGCGAAGCGCAAGCCGGGATTGATCTTCCATAATAGCACCGCCTACACTCCAGGGCATTGAGCTCGGGCTGAAAAAAAATCTGAGAGTGATGGGCCTGTAACGGTCATTTCTGGCTGCAAGAAAGCCGCTTTTACGCTCACTACTCTACTTGCCTTTCAAAGTAGTCAAATCTCTAGTGAAATTTTCTGTTGTTCGGACCCCGGTGATGATCGATCTTTCTCCGCTTCAGGTCTGGTCTAGGTCTCCTCATTCCCAATAATGGGGTTCTCTTGCAAGCCTCCGAAAAAAATCGGGAGGAAGAGATAAACCGGAAAACCAAACTGTAAACATGTCCTTGGTTTATGACGAGTTGAAGACTAGTATGTAAGAATCCCAGTGTCTAAGCATTCCTGAAAATTCTACCATTCTTCTCCCCCTTGCACTTGTTTGATCGTGCTCTCGCGGCTGAGCGAAGAGATTGCTCCCTAAATCGACTTACGCCGATCAAATATTCGGTTTGATAATCGACCACTTTTTGCAGATAGTTGAGCATACTCCCAGTCTCTCAAACGGGGGGTAAGTAGAAGAAAAAGACAATTTCGAGCTTTAAACTTTGATTGCTAGCTTGGATTCACAGGATTAGTTGGGAAACTAGGAACAGGGTTCCAAAAGCTACAACTTCACATTCAGGACTAGTTTATATGTATTCGATGTAAGCATCCACTTCATAAGAGGCACGCCATGTCATCCACCCTCACTTCTGGTCCTTCACCGCACACGGCGAGTCACCGGCATCGCACGGAGCCTGGCATCTATCATTGACCGCAAACAGTCCCGCACAACACACCAAACTGACGCATCCCGCATTGGTGCAGAAGACCGCCGAGCCGGATTCCTCGACGCAGTTATGCGGGGGGACGGAGGTCAGTGCGGAGTCGGTGCAGCTAGCGCGGGAGATGTGAGCTTTCAGACTGACAGACTGACGAGTGCTGCGCCAGCGCGGCTTAGTTGTCCTGGAACGGATCGTAGCAGGCGTCTCCGCAGCGCAGGTAGCCGGTCCCATCAATCAGAGGGCACAGGTAGTTCCCGTCGACGCAGACTTACTTGCGAGTCCGAATGAGCGTTGTCGAGAACCGCAGAGAACCTGGCGCCGTACCTCGTTGGGATAGAATCGAACGTCGCCACAGGTCTCCAGCGGGTCTTGGCCAGCGATCACAGGCTCCAGCAAGGTATCATTGCACCTACCGAGTGATCGAGTCACTGACAGTTCCTGCACGCAAGCTTCAGAGAGACGAGACTGACGTATAAGTCTTGGTCGAGTAACACGCGTCTCCGCAGCGCAGGAGCGCGTCCGCGTCGCTGGCCCCGTCGCTGTTGACGATCGGGCAGAGAAAGTTGTCGTCGAAACAGGTGTACTGAAATCGCCTGTCGGATCACTCGCACGAGGTGAACGCGCAGGTGCCTACCTTGGTCGGCAAGTAGTCAGTCCCCGCAAGTCAAAGTCTGCGCGAAGATCCTGAGGGCCAGGATCGGGAGCAGCGAGAGAACGATGAGAGGATGCATTTCTTGTGGGTTGTGTGCGTTCGCTCAATCTTGAATGAGCGTTGCTTTAAATGGTCAAGAAAGTCACCGCTGCCCCATCGAGTAGGTCTTCTGGCCACCGATCTTGGATTCTGAGCTTTGCCATTGGACGAGATGTGACGCGACATAACAAGCGTGCCTTCGGATTGTGGAGGACCCACATCTCTCGCCTATCCCAGTCCAGAAGCTACCAAAGTACTATAGATGATCGATATCTCCGATGACTACTTACTACTCCACTGACTACTACTTACAAAATGCTACAATACACGAGAATCCAAATTATGGTTCTAGCAATATTTCCCAGATAGAATAGATGAGGGTGTAGGATAGAGCAATCGCACGTAACGTCATTGACCGACCAGCTTCCCTCTTGGATAGCGCACAGCAAACAGCACCAGCGCAGCAGCGAGCGCCGTGACCGAGTTGTACAGGAAGATCAAGTTGGGCAGGCCCGCACGCGACAAACACGCAAAGAGCGCGCCGTACAGCGTCGCAGTGAAGATGTTCGCCGCCGTCTGCCAGAAAACATCGTCAGCAAAACGGGTGGGAGGGGCAGCACCAACGCAATCAGCCGCACGCACCTCAATCAGTGCGATGCCTGCCAGTGCCTCCGCCTTGGACTTGGCAGGCACCATGTCCAGCAGCACACCCTTGCACGCTGGGGCCGTGCCAGAAGCAAGCGGGGTGATCAGAGCCGCCGCCCAGATATGGCCGCTGCGGCAGGAGAAGATGAGAATGCCGATAAGGATCGAGTCTATTATCATTCTGTTACGCTCTGTCAGTCCAAGGCGCCCATCCCATCCCAGCATGAACAGACACGCACGAGAATCGAAGAAACTCGAGATCAAAGGCGCTCCCGTGTATCGGCTTGCGAGTGCACGAGCTTTCCGCAGGTGGAAGTGCGTTGTCGTCGGCCGCCGTTCGGGAGGACAGGTACTTGCGTCCACGAGAGATGATCCGAGGGAAAACGAGCGTGAGGAAAGCGGCCCGAGAGAGTGAGTTGCAAGACATTCTGGGATGCACAGTCAGTAGGTCCGATCAAAGAGAGCAAAACAGCCAGCTCACAGTAAGCCGTTATCGACGGGCTTGAAGCCGTACTTGTTGGTCGCGGTAAGCTGCAGCATGAGAGGCTGGCGAGCAGTGAGAGGTAGCACTATATCGGAGAGCGGGACAGGACTTGCCACGTATCCGGTCGACATCACAGAAGTGAAAGCGCCAAAGCCCAAGAGAGAGACACCCCAGAATCGCCCGCTCCCGTCCGCATACTTGGCAGGCCAGAAGATCCCCAGTGGGCGCAGGAACGAAAAGAACGAGGTCGTCTTGACGTCGCGTTCGGGAGAAACGGGGTTCGATGCTGTGCCACTGCGCAAGGGGAAGCCGCCGGGCGGGATGTACGGCAGGAAGAAGGCGGTGAAGAGCGTAGATAGAACGAGTAAGCAGAAAGTGATCTGGAACGGGGTCTCGAATCTGACCAACGCCCAAACCACCCCGCCGCCGATGTAGCCTGTGGGGAAGCGCACCATGAGGATGACATAGGGGAGAGCATGATGGATTCGGCGCACCTATAGCCACACCGAGCATCGCCATCCCGGCCAGGACCCCAAAGGCGGCCGTCCGCTCACCCGGCTCGACGACCTCTGCCATATACGCATTCGCCGACAAAAGATAACCAGCGCCGCCACCGAGGATGGTGATGAGCTGGGTGCCGTTGATGATCTGGATCCCCGTCGCGCCGCCCACGGTGACTGCGGTTGGAGCTTAGTGACGAGAAAGTGTCGGAGACTAACACGCACTAGCGTATATCTGACACAGGTTCCGGAGGGCAGGCCAGAAGGTTTGCTGCACGATGGCCTTGCGGAGGCCCCAGTGGTTGATTTGCCAGGTCGTGAAGATGAGATTGATTGTGCCGCTCAGCTGTCAACGACGCGTGAAAAACTTGCCCAGGACCCGGAAAGCACAAGCACACGCACCGTCGCTAGACAGAGCATGACCGTGATGTCCTTCGCTGTCCTCGCCTCGATCGCGGGCACCGCGCACGCATCGCCATCGCCCTCATATGGTGGGTGCGTTTTGTAGTACTCCTCGCAGTTGAATAGCCGGTACCCATACGTGAGCGGTGTGGCAGTCTGCGCCGTCGAGCTCAGCCCACGGGCGACACGCGCGATCAAAGGGCGTGGGACTCACAAAGGCGAATGTGGTCGAAAGCAAAAAAGTCGCCAATAGCACACGTCGATATGGACTAAAAGCTCCGCGCTTCCTCAGGTGCGAGCTGTCCACCTGCGGTTTGGGGAGGAGGGGCCGACGCTCCATGGATTCCCGCGACCTGGAGAGGGAGCCTGGCATGACGGCGTCAATTCGAAGGAGGAGGCGGCAGCGGTTTGTACGGGGGTGATGGTGGTGGGGGCTCGAGTTATGGCGAATGTCAGCCCTTCATTCAACAAACGCCGCGGCGAGGTTACGATCGGCGCGCGTTCGGCCGTTACCGGAGTAGCGTCTGTTTATGCTTGAACCGGGTCGGAGGTAGGAAAAGACGAGTGAGTTGGCCCCGGATGCTCCGAAAGCCAGTTGTAGGCGACTGGCAGCTGCGCAGTCGTTGGCGATACAGGAAGCTGCGCAACGGCTAGGCATCGATCATGTCCGCGGCGAATAAATCTTTCACAGGTCGGCCATTGATGCGCAAATGACAGCTTGGCATCACGCCATCAATAGACTGCCGCTGACTGCTGACTGAATCTCTTGGGACCAGTGGATCGGTCAGCTGGTGAAGGAAAACTGGCTCCGAGTCCCCAGTCCAAGCGTCCTGCCTGGCCCCAGAAAATGGGATCTTCTCTGAAAAAATAGGCTCATTCAAAGTGCATCTCTCATGATCACCAGTCTAAACTCCGTTTGGAAATCAGATGGACGGCCGCGGCAGCCTCAATGCACCTCTACAGTGCACCAACCGCTCTTGAGGGCCCTTGTCGGGAGCAGATCGATTCGATTCGAGCTCATCGGGAGAATATACACCTTCTATGAGCTGATGGGCGGATGAAAGCCCCGCGTTGAGCAACTCTGTGGCCTGAACCTGACGCGGATAATCTGACCAGATTCTCTTGCATGCTGCGAATTTCCAGATCTAGACTGTAGCTTGACCTCTTCTGCGCTCACATGACGGGTAGTCACCCCCTCTCTTGAATATCCACCGGAGTGCGACTTTCAGCGGCAGCTGATCATTCTATCTGCGATCCAGAAACTTTGATCTTCAACCGAAATCACTATTCATGGGGATAGACAAACTCCGCGTGTACGCGTTGTGCAATTTTCAGATGTCACCGGATTCCATTCTCCCTTGGCACTATCAGAAAGCTTCTGAAGCCCCGGGGATTCCTCGAATGTCAATAGAAATTACAAGCACTTTCGATTACCTCTCGCCGCGGGCGGTATCACGCGCTTTCGTTGTGCAGAGTGTGATTTGGAGTGTCCAAGATGAAAGGTTCGCAAAGGGGTCTCCAACCCCAGGATGTACTGCTGACGGCCAATGCAAGCGCAGAAAGACGCGCGTGTTTTGCCGAAACGTTCAAATCTCTTGAAACACATCATTTCAAGAGAAAGTTGAACGCTAATCGGGAGTGATGTTTGGGGCTATCCTATGAGAGATTACAGTAGTCGATCAAGGTTGTATCTACACCCATCATATCGCCCATCAATCTATCAAGAAGCATTTCAATCATCTCTATACCTACATCTCGTACCGCTGTTACCACATTTCCAGATGTCTCAATCGGACGGAGAAACCTCATCATATGAAGCTCAGAATGAGCTCATTGCGGATCCGGGTTACGAGTCCAGCACTGGAGAGCGCGACAATCCCTCTTGTGCTCATTTTCGTCGCTTCGAACCTGTCAGGAGGACCATAAAACCGAGGCTAGTGCATGAAACCCGTGACAGTGCCTGTCTTGACCTACATCCCGCTTGTCCACAGAGGCAACGCTAAGCTTCTCAACCGTCAAGGTCGCGCGATATGCCGTATCATGTCGTCTCTGGACTGGGATCCCGAGGTCATTGGGTACATCTTCGGTGTTTCGAGTTCTACGGTGGTTCGCGCCGTGGAAAACGTCTTTTATACGCCGCGCGATCGCGTGGAGGAAGACTTCGATCGGGTCGGTGAAGAGTACCAGACACACGCACCGCGGCCGCCAGCGGACCAGATGGAGCGATTGAGGGCCATCAAGAATGCAAACAGGGACGAGGAAGGGGAAGAGCCTGTGGTAGATATCTTCACTACGGCTTTCTTTCCTAATCGATATCTGTCACCAGGTAGTTCCACCCCGCACAAAACGCACCGTCACTTTCTCCTCCCGACCCGCCAATGTGGAAGGAGACCTGGCTTCGGTTCGAAAACGGTTTAAGCCCACTCCAGTCGCTAGCTCGGATTCATGTTCAGAGCAGGTATGGGGTACATATGAAACCGGTTCAATGGGCTTAGAGGTGCTTCTAGCATACCAGTTCTTCCTCACGCCAGAATAGCGGTTTCTACGGCGCATCGACAGGCACGGTATTCACGTCAGCTTCGCAGAGAGCGGATAGTCGCGAGTCCTTTCTTAGCTCTCTGTCATCCTCGCCATCCATCACACCTCCTATCTGGACGCAAATGACTCGCGATCATCCTCCAGTTACGTTTTCCCATGAATTGCTCCCACCGCTCGAGGGCTTCGATCCTCGAAAGCACGTCGAAGTCTTCCACTCGAAGGGCCTTACATCAGCTCACCGGCTCCGTACTTTGGCCCTCTGGCCTCGGAATATGATTCAGGAGACGGTAAAGCGCATGTTTCTTGGTGCGCAGGGAATGTCGGCCATGGACATAATCTCGTTCGAGATAGCCTTGGGCCAGATGAAAAAAAAATCTTCCGCCGCACAGCAGGTGAATGGAAATCGATTATTGACTGAAAGCAAAGCTGATTCATGTGGTTTTGCATTGCAGTCTGCTATCTTAGCGTCCTCGCGCCTCTCCTCTTCCCCGCCGCCAACTCTGCATAGATTCCTGTTGAATGTGATGGGGCTGGATCTCTCGTTGCACCAGAACCTCCTGATAGCCCAAGGCATCGACATACAAACGCTTTGCAAGATGACTGAATGGGATCCGGAGAGCTTGCGCGATGCCCTCGAGCGAATGCTGGGCGAAGGAGGGAGCTTGCTTGCGGAAGGACAGGTAGGTATGGTTGGCTTTGAAGTTCTGGCGTTGGAATGGGAGTTAAGGAGAACAAAATTGAAATGATTCATAAACATGTACCCAGTGCCTATAAATTTGACGAGGATGAAATACGCAGGATCGAAAGAAATTTCAGGGTGTGATACAATACAATGCAAAATGTGATTGGAGTGGGATTCGAACCCACGCCCTTTCGGACTAGATTGCATGTTGTCACACAAATTGTTCTCCTGAGGAGATAATCCTTAGTCTAGCGCCTTAGACCGCTCGGCCATCCAACCCTGGCACGGGGAATCTGGGTACCGTTCAGCATGCGCAGGCAAGCAGATCTTTACAATATTTACAGACGTGAACGATCTCACTCTTGGACCCACTTCCTATGACTGCCTTGAGGATGATCCTGGCTAATCTCATTCGATCTACATCATTCATCAATCCCCGATCAATCCTGTCATCATTGTTGTTGATGATTTGGTTAGCTTCCTGTGAATTGTCCGCCAAGACCGATTTTGGCCAACAGTCCTCGAGCAGCAGCTCGTCGACACATATCTCTGCTTCCTCAATACGAAAGGGACCAAAACGATCCCTTCCACATTGCTGCTATTTAATAGCTTCTCTGCACGCTCAACAGGTCAAAGTGTTACGTGCCTTGATGCGCTTTGACGCGTTTTTGTCTTGCCGAGCGCGCTTTGGCGGATCGTCGAGAACAAAGCAAGGGCGTGGGTATATGCATTTAAGGCCAGAGACAACAATGTCGTCTGCCCACGGCTTGCCTCACCCCACCACCGCTCTCGATTACCCATCCCACAGCGATGTCTGACTCCCAATCTGAATTCTCTAACGACGCGCACGATGAACAGCCAAGTGAGTTCCCTGCCATCTGCATCCCTTCGCCTCATAACGATGCGTTCAGAGTCCTGCTGGCCTCACGTTTTCTTGGGCGTTGCGGCCTGCGAAGTCGGTCTTCTGCTCTACCTCTATCCTGCCCGTCTGTTTGCGCCCACCCTTCTCACCCCGCTGGTCGTCTTCGTCACCCTCTTCTACATGTTCCGCGCCGACATCCCTTTCGTTGGAGGCCCTCCCGATCGCGCCGAATGCTCGAGCGAGCTGGACACGGTCGCTATAGCGAGGGAGTACCTCACCGCGCATGGCTATCCGCCAAACACCCCACCCCAGGAGCTCTTCGCGCGCTGTCGGGGCCAGCTCGAGGCTCACGGATACGTGCAGGAGGGCGAGATGGTCGATGACGACCGGGCGCTGATGTACGTCGCGGCCGTCTTGCAAGTGACACACAAGGCTACGGAGTGCGATCGGATACGCCTCCAACTCTGGATGAAGAGGACCCTGTGCAACTTCCTCAGGATAGGTTTCAGAGATGTCCAACCTTGTCCCGACGTAGCGGAAGACGAGTTCCTGCTCTCCGTGAGCGATGAATGCCTAGCAGACCGAGACGACACAGACGCCGTATGGGCCTTCTCGGGCTTGCAGGTGGCGCTTGTCTGGGCGTATTCCTCGCTTCCGATTCTCCTTTTCGGCGTTCTCCCCCTCGTCCTGCTCTCGCTCATTGTCCTGCGGTTCCGACATGCCTTGTTCCCCAGGCGTAAAGCGATCCCGCCGGCCTACCAGCAACTCCGGCATCTCGAGCTGATCGACGACGAAACTGTGGACCAGTTCCTCGAGCAGTTCGCTCCAGAGATCTTGAGTGCGAGTACCTCCGACATTGCCGAGGGCTACAAGCTGGACCCCGCGCCAATCGATCGAGGGGACGCCTTGCATAGGGCGGCACAGATTGTTCTCGATGAGAATCTCGATCTGTTGGACAAGCTGGACCGATGGGCGATACTCTTGTTCTTCGATTGGGTCTGGTCAATCGTGGTCAGGCGGGACTTGGAGGAAGGCGGCGGCGATCAAGGTCGTGAGAGGAGCTCTGCGCCGGAACCAGAATCGTACGCCGTGTCTTCTCTCCACCCTCTCTACCATTTCCTAACTTGTTTTCTCAGACACCAAGGTCTCATGTATCGAGATCTGCCGTTGTCCGTGTTCGCCCTTTCAATGCATTCGTACTCAACTGATGGTCGTTTCAGCCAACCAGCGATTGCGGCACAGGACTATGCCTGTTCTTTCGAGGCAGAGCAAGTTGATGGAACTCGAGAATGCTAGTACGTCACTGCTCGTTCTGTGTCAATGTGCTACCGCTAACACTATCTGAAGTCAGGAACTGAGGCAGCCGGCAATGGTCTACCCGCCACTCGATAACCCACTGCGCGATGCCTCTCTGATGACCCAGCTTCCCTACGTTGCACAACCATCCTTTGCTCCGGGCGACTTGTCAGTCCCACTCCACATTTGTCAGACTGCCAATCCTGACATCTGCCTGCAGCCAACAGTTCGGCGTATCTGGATTTCACCACCCAACGCTCGACGCCTCGGCGATGGGAGCCTTCAGGGCATCGGTTCCGTCGTCGCAGCTACCATTCGGTTCTCACTCTCAGCCGCCTTTTACTGAAAACGAAGTGGGGAAATGGATCTTTGTGCCACACGGTTCGACCGTCCTCGCCCCCCCTCACCCTTACCAGCCTCCACCTCTCCCAATGCCGAGTCTCCCATCAAACCCGTTAGTTGTTTGAGTTCTGTATGTGCGGTCCGAATGCTAAATGATTACAGATGTACTCTTGCTCCGTTCCGCTACACCCCATCGCGGTGTCGGATATCCATGTCGCCAAAGAAAGTGAAGGAGCTGCTGTTATTCCCTTGCTTCTCGACATCGGGTCTGCCCGTGACCGGTCCCCCTGGTGGAATGTGTGTTGATCCTCCCCGTGGACGTCGTAGATCATGATTCTCGCTCTTCTGTTTCGTTCCTCTTGCTATGTGTAAATCGCTGTATTGTAGCTCCCATTTGCCTCTGTCCCTGTCACTATCTGTATTCACGTCCTCGTAGTTTTCCGTGTGTATTACAATGGCCCCCCGTTTTTGCGTCTTCTGACTCGGATTCTTCGTGTCAACTTGTGCGGCTTGCCCATCATGCAGAGAAGTATCTAGATCCCCGCCGCCGCCGCCGCCGCCGCCCAACTCTCTCGTTATTCACTTCCATGGGTCTACCTCTGGATGAGGGAAAGTGCTACCCCTTTCCAAGCATCGCACCTCCTAATTCTCGGTAGCCTCGAGTTTATTTCACCGGCGGCGTGAATACCGCGGTCGGCAACAACATTCGGTAATGATTTCTACCAATCCCTGACCCCATTGTCCGTGCGCGAGAGTCAACATGTGGACCCATGAAGCTACTTGGATCGCTTCGCCGGATATAGACAGTCGCTTGCGGTGGCGAGCAGACGATTGCCGATACAGGGGCATGACTATCGCCGCTCTCTCGAAATGTTGCATGTCGCGCGATCCAGAACCGGGTCTTAATTCCTGCTTCTACCAGAAGCCTCCACGAACCAACACGTACTAGGACGATATGTATATCTCCTTCTGGCAGGCGGAAGTTGTATAAGAGTTGCACATTGGAAAGATATCTTCATCCTCTCCAGGACATCTGAACTCCCTTACATCTTCAGCCTTCAGCCCTTGACTTAACCAACAATGAAGTTCTTCGCCGTTGTTTTTACCGCCCTCGCTGCCTTCACCGCGGTCAGCGCAGCCAGCGTCGATGTATACGACAATCCTCCGGTTCTCGCTGTTCAACATCTGATTTCGCCCCTTTCCAGGTCAGCAAAGGAAACAGCCTCGCCGCTGCGCCCCCCACCAAGCCCGCTGCCCTCCAGTGCACCGGTGTTGCCCCGGTGCGACACCGACGTTTTCCGTTGTCTTTACACGATAGCTGATGCGATACTAACAGGGACTGCTCGGTGTCAACCAGCACATGGCTGCGGCCAACCAGATTCTGGACTCGCTCAAGAAGTCCGCGACTGGGGGGAACAAGGCCCTCGCTGCGAGCGTGATGGGCGCCGCGGCGCCTACCCCGGCCGATGTGTGTATCTCTCCTGCGCAACGTCGCAGGCGCATCAAACGCTGAGCTTTCTTCTCCAGGTCATCAGCACTCTGACCGACGCGATCACCCTCGCGACCAACGCCGCGATCTCGATCGTCAACATCGTCACTGGCCTTACTTTCACCCTCGTCGTGAGTCGGCTTCATGCCCCGCCTGCGTAGAAAAATTTCTGACCGTTCGTGTATCGCAGGGGGCCGCCGCTAGCGTGCTCCAGCCTCTCCTGACCTCGGTGAAGGCCTTGCTCACTTTGGCCACCACCCTGGTCGCTACGCTGCCCGGCCTCATCGTCACGATCCTCACTTCGCTCGCGGGGCTGTGAGCGGGGGACTATGCCCCATCGTAACTGAATGACGCCTGAAAGAACACTCTTCTTCGCTTCTTCCTGTGGTCGTTTCTTTTTTCTCGAGTGTTGAATTTGAAATGAATGTGTCGAATGAAATAAATGCAATTTCTGCGAATGGGGCTGCGTAGCATAAGATTATGCGCCATATTTCTACTTGAGAACATTCTGAGTGTTTTCTGAGAACCTCAGGTGCAGTGACATGGATTTTCTCCTCGGTCGAGCGAACCCGAGCACGGCAACGTGCCCTGCCAGGCCGCTGATGGGATATTTCACTATCGTTATGTGAGGGGTGCTCCCAATCAGGTAGACATTTCCATCGAGAAGTTCCGTTTTGAGCCTTACCATCGTGTTCCCCAGTTCTAGATGCCGATTCTCTCTACACGCCTACGCGCACTACCATAAGAGTTGATTCCTGGACGATCGATCTCGAAAAGAAGTCCAAGGCGGCGCATCAATGGCGGAAAGTGTTCAGACGATGTATCGATGCTCGGCTTAAATTGAACGGTAGCAAAAAAATCTTGATCAGGGCCACCTCGAAGAAATCGTTCGTTGCTCAACAGCCGAGGTGAGAATCAGGAGGGACCAAAGATTAGCGCAGAGACTATGCATCACGGAGGTGACTCATTCAAGATCTATCTCCGTCCGATTTCCATGCGAAGGGTCAGATATTATATTGCATCTGGAATCTAGATCCGCTGCTGCCTCAGATTGTCGCGTTCAATTGGTCGTTTCAGTCGATAATGTTTCCGAATCGGTCGAGTCTGCCTTCTTGACTGAATGGGATGAAAACATTTTATGCTTCTGCGCGATTTCTGGCCGCGTCAGGGGTATGACATACATGTATCCTGCAGGATATTTACCTCATCGACTGACGTCTACCAGTATCCCCGCCTTCACGATGCTGAGTGTAACGGAAACCGAGATAGTCCATAGCTTCTCCTGCGAAGCTTGACACCAGCTGTATCAACCATCTCAATGCTGAGAGAGCCTACCGAGTGATCATGAGGATCAAATCATCGAAGCGGAGAGTTTGCACGTGATCAGATTTTCAAAGACAGATTTTGTTGTGACGCTCTGCGTTCGTGACACCTACGTTCTTGAAAAAGCGTGAGACCTGCGAGGGTCTCCGGAGCCTCAAGGCCGCTCTAATCTGCTCTACCACTCTCATGCACGGTGGGATCGGAGGGACCAAACGTCCACTAGCTCGGCGGAACGTCCAGCAAGAGTTATTAGTCTTCCCGGGGTGGCAAGTTGCGTGTGAGCGGTCTTGGCTGGGAAGTTTATTCACTTCTCTCGACGTTATCGTTGTGGCGGGCCCACATAAAGGCCGGCCACCAGACCGACGGTGTCAAAACGATGCGCTTCAATTTGCTTCCGGGCATCTTCTCCCTGTTCCTTGCGCTTCCAGTCGTCGCATCGGCCCTCCTCAGCATCAACCCCAACCCCGATGTGCTTCTCTCGCCGGAGTCCCTGCCGCGTCAGCTCCCTAGGACCAACGCGGAACGTCTGAGGCTGCGACTGCCCTTGATGAAGCCCGGGCGCAAGCTGCAAGGTCTGGGCTCCCCTGTCAAAAAGATGATCGAGGAAGCAGCTCCTCCCCGTCCGTCCAGTGCGCCCATCCCGCTGTGCGTGTCCCTACTCGCATCACTCGTCCGTTTGCCCTTGACTGTGCTCATTGGCAGACAAACGTGCGCGATTTCTGTGTCCATTGGCGGCACATTGCGTGGTTTCCTGGCCCCCACACTGAACCCATTCGGAGAGTTCAACGCCATACAGCAGGACCGAGCCGGCGCGCTGCTGGTCAGGTTTCCCTACACGCCTGGGACGGGGAATGTGTCGGAGGTCGACTTGCAGATGCTGAATGGCCCGGCGGGTGGTTTCAAAGAGATGTACCTCGGGCTCGGTAATCCGTCCCTCCCTTTCCCGGACCGTTCGCACTGTCTGATCTGCTGCAGTTGTTGGATACAGTGATACCAACAACACGCTCGGACCCGGATCCCGAAAGTACGCAGATCCTGCCGAGTTCACGCAGATCCTCGCGTTGTGTAACTGTCATTGCACAGCTATGTGTACCTTTCTGCGACGTCGCAGACCCAGCCGGGCGGTGCGCCCAGTCTGGGCGAGTCGACGATCAACTCGTTCTCCATGCGGACGGGCATCGCGGAGGCCGTCGAGTCGGCCGTCTGGCAGTACTGCCCTGTTTCACAGGATCTGCGCGCGTTTTGGGAGAACGACGGCGCGCAGACGGTGCCTCTGAAAGCGGTGTTCAAGGCTGACAGTGATGGTGTGTCTCGCCCGTCGCGGTTCCTTGTTTGATAACGAATCTGCTGAAACGGGTCTGGGGTTCTCAGCTGCTTTCGTCCTGACAGGTGACCTAGTCGCGTGGCGGAAAGCGTTTGGGTTCTTTCCTGAGGCGGTGCGTGCTCGGTATCTGTCTTGCTCCCGCGCGCAACTTCTCAGCCATGTGCACAGACGTTTCGGTGCGTTTCGGTAGCGGGCTGAGCAGGCACGCTCGTTACAGAAGATTAATGCAGCGCCATTGACACCGACATCGACAGCGATGGGAGTGGCTCTAGACTATGGAAGGACTACAGACTTGATTGCCGGGGTGCTATCCGATATCCTCCTGCGGAATACCCACTAGATTCTACAGCTTGTTAAGCCTCTCTTCGTGCTTGCCAGACCGCACAGAAGCGGTCATCTGGTGCGCCAACTCAGGAATATGATTACCGGACACGAACTGCCAGCCATTTTGGATCAGAATGCCGGGTGCCGAGGCAATGGGCAGGCCATGCCTGCCACATCCATTCCAGGTACAGCAGTTGTCTTACGTAACATTCCTTCTGCCAAACGTGCGAAGCCAAAGTCGAGGTTAAGGCGGAGATGAGAAGTTGCCGCGCTCCCACCCTGCTCCGTCTCGCCATGTCGTCGTCCTCGTCCACCGCCCGGGAGCTTCTTGCGGTCAACCTGGCCGCGCTGACATGCTCGTCCTTGTTCTACGGCATGTTCCTGGTGCTGTTCGTGACCTCGCTGTATCTCCTGGTCGCACGGTACCTGGCGGTGAGGCGGTCGAGAAAAGTGCACAGTCCTCCGTCTCTGTTCCGCTCGACTGTCTTCATCGCGGCGATCTTGATGTGGTTCGCCGTCACTGCAGTGAGTAGTGCTTGGATCAGATCCTTGCGACTCGCACCTCCGTGATCGGGAGACGCCTGTCGCCCTCCTCCGTCCGCTGAATCTCCTTTTCGCAGCACTGGATCACGACGGTCTACCGCGCGTTCCTCGCGTTCATCTATTTTGATAACGGCCAGGCGGCGATCCAGTTTTATCTTGATGCAACACACACGACGGATATAATGCAATCAAGCTTCCTGATGTTCTCGATTCTAATGGGCGACTCGTTAATCGTGCGTGCACCTTTACTGGAGCCGATACCCAGAACTCACTGACCGGCATCTCGAAGATTCACCGGCTCTGGGTCGTCTGGGAGCGCCGTGTTTCAGTCGTCCTGTTTCCGATATGCAGCTTGATCGCGCTGACGAGTGAGTTTCTTAGCTGTGTTTTGAGGCCCTCTCATTCATCTCGGCGCAGCATGCAGTGCCGTTTCGTTGTATACTGTGAGCAGGAAGAACACTAAAGAGGACATCTTCTCCAATCCGTGGCTGACGAGCAACTGCGTCCTTACTCTCGTGTACGTTCACATAAACGCAAAGCAATTCATTCCTGATAAGCGAGAAAACACAGAACGAACGTCTACTGCACTGGTGGGTGTCGATTCTCTGCCCTCCGCTTTTCATTCTCTGATGTGGAAACGACAGCTTTCATCACGTACAAAATCTGGAACATCACGCGCGTTGTCAGACCGGTGGGAGGGTCCAGTCTTCGTGTGAGTGTGATTGAGCGGCCAAGAGCTCGACTATTTTCTGACGGGCCTTCTAGGAATTCTTGGTCATCGTGATGGAGTCCGCGGCAATTTACGCGTACGTGCCACCACCTACTCTCACTTCCCCGACTCACCATCTGCCTCTCGTCCACCCCAGTTCGTGGGCGATCCTGTTCACAGCGACGTACAAAACACGCTCGCTGCTGCAGTTCCTCGTGATCCAGTGCGCACCAGAAGTCGTCGGCATCGTCAACGCGCTGATCCACACGCGCGTGGGGCTCGGCTGGGCCGTGGAAGCCGTCACGCCGCTCGACGGGCCGTCCGAGAAGCTCGCATTCGCACAGCGCTTTCCGACGCTGGGGCACACGACTGTGAGCGAGACGCTCAATGGCGCGGGGATCGGCAGCCTCGACTTGACCGCGGCCGGTCCCGGCGTGGAGTGGGCTGCGGGGTCGCCGGACATGGCTGTGGGCGGTGGCGGGCGATGGGGGCAGGAAAAGCTGCCGGCCCTGTCCGGTTCGAATTGGGATCAGCGGTCTGACTCGAAAGACTCCGAGGAGGACTTGGGAGAGCTGTCTAGCGTGGATAGACGCAGGGGTTCGACGTTTGACAGCTCTGTGGGCCACTCTACGTACCGGTCTGCTCTGGAAAGCCCAGTGTAGAGCTATGTTACCTTGTAAACTAAATACCCGTATATATGTACAGGGAGTCTTTGCGCCGATCAGGGATTGAACTGATTGGTGTATAACTCGTCGTTGACCGGTCGACGGTTCTGGAACTTGACTCTATCACTTGGTGCTTAACTTTCCTTCGTAGTTTCTCACCGTGCTGATCAGCGTAGTCCGGCAAGAACAGGACAACAAAGTGTCTTGCTTCTGGGTCCAGAATCAGTTCAGAAGGATTACAGTTCAGACGTGTCGTTTCGGCGGCTCCGAGGCAACGAGATTGTTCCAAGTTGCAAAGATAATCAAAGAACAACATCCTTGATCCCTAAAAGGAAGGTCACTGTTCAATTGTTCGGTATCGGCCGCAAAGAGGTAAGGACCCTTCAGCTCGAAAGCTTTTCTCAATCCATTTAAATATGGATCTCGAGAAACTCAAGCTCACTCTCAGAGTTCTTCTGCAGGACAGTTTGTTATGCGTTAGTCGCCCGCGCTGCATAACTTGACGATCATTTGCCATCGCGCGCGCGACACTGGTGACAGAGATGCCGAACAAATACGTTATCCTTCTCCTATCCCCTGACGCTGATGATGCGGCAGACTGGACAGCCTTGGCGGTTCATGACCTTGCCGTTCCTGACACCAAGGCCACGGTACGAGGAGCTCTCTGGCTGAGAGGGGCACGTACCGGACACGGATGAGTCTGTTTGCTGGCTTCATCTCCCTGAAATTCTCGCATGTGGGAATGTCTCGCTCGCACTGTGTCGGATTCGTGGCGAGACTTTGCGATTTCCATGGGCAGCTTGGGCGCAGGCTCATCGCAGACTAGCTCAAGAATATCCGAGTCGCTGTTGAACATGTTGGACGACGAGTCCCGTACTCACAACGATACTTGGTACATAGAACACGGGCGAATACAAACGACCTCTGACATCGTGACATCGTGACTGATTGTTTCAAACTGTACCGGGTTTTGCGCACAACTGCTTTGTCCCTCTAGATCTCTTCCCGAAACCTTCTTCCAAAGCGCTTTATGATCCAGCTTTGTTCTCGTCGATGCCACCGCGCGTGGTGATGCGACCATTGTCTTCGCTGTCGACTGCCGATGGATATAAAAGCACACAAGCGCACAAGCCTAACGTCCACCATTCAAGCACCATGCCTTCCAGTCGTCATCCTCTCAGTAGGCATTCTCCATAACATGGATTTTAAGCATCTCTTGAACGCATCCCACAGGCATCCAACGCGAGATGCGTCGCCATGTGAGCGAATCGCAGGTCGTCTTACCCGCCTTCGATGTCGCGTCTTTCAAAGAAAACGTCCCGCCTCTTCTCGCATCTTGCGGAGACAAACCCTCAATCGAGCCGACTGAAGTAGCACCGGAGACTCCTCAAACCTCCTTCGAGGTCGACGACTCGCTTGTGACTCCGGTGCAGAATACTGAAGGAGAAGGCGAAGCCGAGGAGATGGATGGTGTCGCGTTGGAGATGCGATCTAACAGTCCGGCGCATCCGGTTATGTGTTCTCCTGAAGAGCGTGCGTCCTTCTTTCGTCTGTCTCACTCCATCGCATCACTAACTATTGCTCAGCAGCAGCCGCTCCTGAAGCCGTCCCGCTTGCGACCCCCGACTCTTCTCCCCGTGTTGCCGAGGAAGAACCAAAAGCCAGCGACGAAGCAAAGCTCTCCGATGTCTCCGACCCCGCTCCCGGAAGCGAGGACGAGGAAAGACTCCCTGCGGTCTCCGATCTCGCACACGACTGCGCCTATCGCCACGCTCTCGCACTCGTGAACGCGCAATCCGCCCACGCCCTCAACGCAGCCAGCCTCGCACGACGCGCCCTGACGCGCTTCAGCGCGCTCATGTACCCAAACGGCGCGCTCTCCAGCGCCGTGCTCTCCATCGCCGACGGCCCCTCCGCCGGCCGGCAGCTGCAGCCGAGCACGCGCGAGCAGAACCAGGAGATCCGTGTCCTGCGCGTCGAGCTGGCTGCGCAGCGCGACGACTATGCGCGCGTCCGGAAGGAGATGGAGACGACGCGGGTGGAGAACATGGGCTTGCGCGTCGAACGGAACGCGTTGATCGGCAAAGAGGCGAAGAGGAAGGCGGATGCCGCTGCGCACGAAGCGGAGCGCCAGGATCTGAAGAACGCCGTGGCGAGCCTGCGGGCGGAGGCCACCCGGTTGACGGCGGAGGGGGCGAGGGTGGGCCATGAGCTGACCCGGCTGCACGAGGAGAACACGCGCCTTGCTGGAGAGAACTTTCGTGGTCGTGCCGAGACGTCGCAGCTGCGGAGCCAGATTCAGTGGCACCAAACCCGGGAAACTAATCACGTAGCGGCCTTGCGGCAGTTGTCCGAGAACGGCCATGCGCTCGAGCGCGATAAGGCCCAGCTCATCGATGGTCTTGTCCTTGTAGCCAATGCTTATTCTGACCGGGTCTTACTCTCCATCGAAGATCTGGAGATCGTTCAGGAAACGGTCACCGTTCTTCAAGGCTGTTCTATCGGGGAACCGTTGCCAGAGGATACTGTCAAGTCGTTGGTGAAGGTGCTTTGTGCTATGCGCCAGCCTGCTCATCATCCTCGACGACGGCAGTAACCGATCCCGAGGGTTTCAATTCCGTAGTATCTCACGCGTATGCACAATCATGGGAATCAATAGGCCTTGCCGTGTATCGTCGATATAAGTATATGGCCAAAGCAGATGAAGATTTTGCTTGAACGACTGTCATAAGATGGTCTGGTCATAAATTGTTGTTAATGAAACGACATTGATCTGCAGCGTCTTTAAACGCGGACCGTGCAGAAAGTGAGGGTTCTCCTTCCCTTCCATCTGCTTGAGAGCGTGCCGATGGCCCAGAGTTACATGATCTCTAGCTTAACAAACGTGGACTAGTCGACGGCGTAAGGGACAAAACGTGATTGGAGTGGGATTCGAACCCACGCCCTTTCGGACTAGATTGCAAGTCGCAATTGATCCTCCACAAGGAGGTAATCCTTAGTCTAGCGCCTTAGACCGCTCGGCCATCCAACCGTGCGACAATTTTACGCGATGAAATATGAGTGCCGCGTTAGGTTGTTCCAGTGGAGCACTAGGCACTATGGTAGCCCACCCACCAGTGACCAATAACCATCGACCCTAGTCGGTGCGTCCAGTTCCGCTGCTCAGGCCTGATGCTAATGAATATGTTTACAACTCCGCGCAGCAAGCACCTCCACTACTAGTACATATCTCTTACCTATCCGTCCCCTGTTCCGTCTCATATAGTCATTCGACTGCAGCGCCACCGAATCAACTGTGCTGGATGTGTTAAACCTCGCCATCCATTCGTCGATTACCGCGCAGCAGGGTCCAGCCGTTTTCTATAAACGGAATCGGAGACGGCTTCTCACTCCGCTTCTTGGGGCTTCAGGAATGATGCTCTTCCGATAACTCTTTCAGATGGGATGAAGTTCTCAAAAGCTCCGGCTGGGATATTATGCTCCAGAGGTCTGACGTCTGTGCCCGTGTGTCCGGGTTCCATGTTCCTGGCTTATCAGAGCCAAGGCAGTACATTGCTAGTCGGCACTTGTTCCCGGTGTGCCCGCTTGCCTTCACCGCTCGTCCTTCGGACAGCGGGTAGTCGCGGGGCAGTCTGTGCTGGGCATATCTTTGGGCGTCAAGCTGCGTGTAAGGACTCCCCAGTGGCATGCGCCCCGGCTGGGGCGCGGACGATGTCTAGGCCTATCAGCGGCAGGTCTTACTAGCATCTAAGGTTCAGGATCCCGTTTCCTTAGATTCCCAATCCTTCGGTGTGGATGACTCTTGTAGAAGTCTCTTCGCGTGTGCCTTGCCCGGTGATGACCAGCGAAAGTCTGTAGTTTCCGGCGAAACAGTAGCGCCCCATGCCGCGGCACAGTAATTCATGTGCACTCCACATGCATGGATGAAATAGAGCATAACGTTCGTCAATGTAAAAGTACATACAGAGGAGGACAGTACGTATGCGCGTGTCGTGTGATGACGCATGGTCCGAGCCTCAGAATGAAGAGCAAGTCATCGCGTGACTGCGGGACCGCGACTGATCCATTCAGTCCCACACTTGGAAAAACGGCCGGAAGTAGACCCCGAGGTCGACACACGCGAGCGCTTTCTCCGCCTTCGTCCAGCCCTGGACGTTGATCACGTAGCGGACTGTGAGATGGGGACGTGAGAACAGGAGAATACGGTGGAGCACGAGGCACCGGGCACGGGTGCTTACGTTTGGGCGTCTCTTTGGGGAGCTCAACGGTCTGCGTGATGACGTAGTTGCCTGGCTCGACGGGGCAGGAGACAGACGCGTTCGCCTTGCGGCTGCGAGGATTCGTGCGTCGTTGAGCGGTCTGTTCTGAGGAGAAGAATGACAAAGACGTACCCTTCCTCGCACAGGTCGAACCTCTGGTTCAAGAGCTTAATACGACCGACTTTGACAAGGACATCGGCGAAGGCGCCTTCCTGAGAATGTGTCGAGTTTTACAGGCGCAACGATGGATAGATGACAGTGAAAAGGATAGAGAGGACGGAGAGTGGAGACAGTCAGCGGTTATTGGCATAAATGGTTATAGCATAGCACACACACCTCGACCAGCTGCGTCACCTCGAACGCCACGCTCACAGTCAAATCCTGCCCAATCTTGGGCGGGTCTGGGGAGACAGAGATAGAGGTGATTGAAACCGGGTCACTTTCGTTGCCTGATATCAAATGAGCTGCTCTGCGCAAGACCTTATCGGGTTTGCCGACATACCACAGTCCTCGTAGCTCCAGCTATCCGGAGGAAGAACAGAGCTTGAGCTCGAGCCAATGGGAAGCTGTTTCGGCAGGGACAAGACGGATCCGGCAGCCGCGCTGGCCAGGACGACGAGGGAGAAAAGTTGCTTGAGCATCAACATCGTGGGGGAGACAAGGGTGCGTGACGGCGTGCGCCGGAAGTTGTCCCCAGCGAGCGATGATCGACTGACATACATATGTCATTGATTGGTGATCGGATCGTTAGTCACCCGGTTTAGCCTTGGCAATTCACGATGTTACCGTGACAAGGTCACGCTCTGACCTTACTCTGACTCCCAACCTGGTTTGGCTTCCATCGGATCTCGTTCGTTCTCAGTATTCGGCCATTTGGAGACGCATCGCTCTCAACTCTGGATCATTAGGGGAGCCCACTCGCAGAACTGATGAAAAAAGAACGAAGTACTCAAGAGCACTTGCTCAAGTTGGGCAATGTGGCAATGTATCGCACTCCTAGCATCTCCCATGCCAAATTCAGTGCGAGTTTTTTTTTTTTAGAAATTGCCGACTTCGATTATGTCATACTCCTTGAGCTGAGAGCTCGGAGATCATCTGGTCCTTGGCAGAATAGCGCTTGGTCCAGGTCACAGTACACTCGAGTAGATGTTTTTCAAGGTACTTCGAAAGGATGGGTCACTGGCGAATCGGTTGACCCCCACCCGAGGATCCCATCCTCTGCATCTCTGCCGTCTGCGCGAGTCGGCCATGGCCCAGAACCTGTCCTATTTTTCCACCAGATCCCTCTTGATATCTGTCATGCTTGATAAGTATTCGTCGCGGAGCTGTCCCGGGATGATGTACCAGCACCTTGCGCTTCCCCGTCTTTCGCAGCCGTGCAATCACACGTCAGGGCTTTTTGCTTATGACCAAGGACAGGACTCAAGCTGACATCGTTTCCTAGCGACGATGATGTGCATGGCTGACGTTTTGAAAGTTCTGGCTGCTTCCGATATCGTAGATGTTCAGTCTGGCCCTCCTGATTCATCGTTTGGGAGGAGCTGTGGTTAGTCTAAACCTTGAGCGCAAAACGAGAGGATGCTTTATCTCGACAAGTCTCCACCGCAATCTCTTTTTCATTTGAACGCATATGACTGACTATACTGAATTTTCAGAGGCTCACTCCAGTGCGCGCGCATTGAATGATATTTCCTTACGTCTCCCAATTCCGATGACACAAGATGGAATATAAATGCTGGCTGACCTCTTGAGTGTGGAGCAATGTACAGTAAGTAATGAGGACTGTGGGGAATTGGGTGAGCATTTATTGTGATTTCAGACACAGGGCGTAGCAGTGTAAAAAAAAAGACGGTCGATTGGCCTTCGATTCAAGGGGATTAGTGCGGTGTGAGGAAATTCAAGGACAGCTCAAGAGCTTGACAAAGACTGGAGAATTAAGCAACGATTTTGATCCAAGATAAGCCCATCAGTCGATAGATTACAAAAATAGCTTGCCGAGAGACCGCCGAGAGGGAGCGGGATCAATACTGCACAACATTCACCCACTTGTTGATATGGTTCAGGTCGTTCGCCGCGGTCGTGTGCAGCCTTTGTGGTCTCTCACGCAGTGGAAACACCCAGAATACTGCTAGACTGAGAAGGTTCCTGGTCTTCAGTGCGTTCATCTCTGACGATCCGTGATTCGTCCTCTCAAGGGACTTTCCCAGTGCCTCTCCAGCACAAACTATAAAATGCGCAAACGACACGATCTCCCCACTCACGTCCCTATTACCGGGGGTTACGCCATCGCAGTCCCGCGCCGCCTCCGCTCTCGGCATTGTATTGTCCTCGCCCTATCGACCTTCGGATTCCTCGTCTGCGTCTACCTCTTCAGCGCACCGGACCCATATCCGCTCGTCGACCTACCTGTATTTTACGTCCCCCCGCAAGCGCCAGCGCCGGACCTTCCGGCCCCTGTTCTGCTACACGGCAAACGCTACCATGCCTTCACGGGGCTCAGCGCTGAGGATGCCCTGCCCGACGCGCATGTCCGGCCCATACGAGCACACGAGCGGATCAGCGACGAGTGTTTGGACGTATGGGTGAGCAGCGGGAAATGGCAGCTGCCCTGCACGCGGGAGATGGTACGGGACGCGCGGATTGATTTGGTATATCTCTGGGTCAACGGCTCGTGCGTGTCTGCTGCATCTTCATCCAGTTTCTTTCCTTTCTGAGGGCACATTCAGCGACCCACTGCATGTCTCGGCACGGGCGGCCCTCCAGACAGAGCTCGGGTTCAAAGCCGAGGACGCGCGATACCGCGAACACGACGAACTCAAGTACGCGCTGCGCGCTGCTAGGATCGGGACGCAGCACTGGATCGGGTCGCGTTGGCATATCGTCACCAACGACGTGGCGGATCCGCAACATCCTGACAAGCGCTTTGGTCAGCTTCCGCAGTGGCTGGACGTCCAGTGTGCGATTGAAGGACATAATGCGACTGCTAGTACCTTGGGGCAGCCGCCGATTTTGGTGCATCATGGTGGAGTGCTTTTCTTGGTTGTTGCGCAGGCGCTGATTGGCGACAGACAATGAACTCTTTCGATATACGCCGACCGGCGGTACGACTGCGGACTCGGATAAGTGGCTGAAACGAGTGTTACCGAGTTTCAATAGGTTTTCCACTCCCACGCATAACAGCAAAAAGAATGGCTAACAAGTCTACAGTCATGCTGTAGAGTCTCAACTCGCACACCTAGACCCTGACGTCGTTTCGGAGAACATGTTAGTCCACTTTTGGATCTCTGCCCCGAACTCAATCCCCTCAGTGTAGCTCTCAATGACGATCAGATGATAGTCCGACCACTGCCGCCCTCCGCATTCCACTCTCCACTCTATGGCCCGGTGTTCCGCTTTGACGGCCAGCTCTTTGTGGGTGGCGACTCGACAGGTGCGGGAGATGCTAGCGGCGAATGGCGCTCGATTCCCTGGAGTAACCATGTCCTGGGTTAGTCTTACGCTCTTCCCCTGCTTCCGTGACGCTGAATGATGCCTTGTTAGATACACGTTTTGGCGAACGCAAACGAGCCTACATACAACACCACGCGCGTGCGCTCTCACTCCCGTTACTGCACGAAGCTTCACTCGCGTTCGGTGCTGAATTCGCACACACGCCTCTGTCACGCTTTCGAGGGTCGCATGACGTCCATGGCGAATGGGAGCTGAACACGATGTTCTTCGCGTCGCATTACGTCGCAGAGCGCCATCGCGAGGCTCTGCTGTGGTCCTGGATCGTCGGAAAGTGGGGAGGCAGGACCGAGGGCCGGCTTGACGAGTCTACAAAAGAGCTAATGTGGTCTGAGGTCGGCGGGAAGGGGCGAAAGCGGAAGGATGTCCAGATATGGTCTGTGGGCCGTTCGTATATCGATGTCGAGGACAACATGAAGAGGGCTGGCCTGCAGGGCCCGGCTACTGGACGGAGTGGGGGGAATCCGCAGGTCGGAAGTCAGTACGGCTGGGGTACGTTCACTGCCTTCTCCCCATGGTCGTGACTGATCGAAGCAGTGTCTATGAATGGATTCTACCAGAGCTGGAGGCAGATCCCGAATCAGGAACCGAACGTGCGAGGTGCGCTTACCACTTCATCTGACTATGCTTTGCTCACCGGAGACCAGGCTTCATTACCTTCAATGAATGTATGAAGCCGGCGACCGAGTCCGCATGGGCATTGTTCCGGCGCTTCGCAACGGTGGACACTCATTGCGGAGACATTGGTACTCTTCCACCCCATCTCTCTCTGTGTCGTATGCTCAAGTCTCTGCCAGTCATCTCCAAACTCGTTCAATCGCAAAGAAGCGGTCTCGGGGTCTTCCTACCTGACGTTCTCAATCGCAACACCACCTCTCAACGTGTCGTGCCCAACCCGCTCACTCTTCCCCTCGTCGTCAGCTCCACCCCGGTCCCGCTGCCACCCGACCTCCGCCTGTTCGCCGTTCGCCTGATCCACCGCTACTCGTACGCCATCGGTCGCTCTCCGGACCAGTTCGTCCGCTTGCTCAAGCCCAAGCAAGCCGAGTTCCAGCTGCGCAACCTCGCTATGCGCAAGCCTGCGCTCATTTGCATCAACGACGACTTCGGTGACGACGAGGAGGTCGTCAGAGAGGGCGATAAGGTGCTGAGGAAGTGGCTGCAGGAGAAGTGGCCTGAGCCGTTGGTCTGCGAGCTGTAATACGCTGCCGTGTGAATGTAAAATGTATCGCGAGGATCTAATCACATGTATGTCAGTCTTGGTGAACTCGGACACGGAACTAGTCAGACTGCAGCGACTGTTAACTTGACTAATCCACCTGAGGTGAGATTGTGTCCTGCCGATGGAATTTGATGATGGGTGTGCGGCACAAACTGCATCCCTAGCACTCAGCCATTGCACCGACAGTCGAATTTCTAAGTACGGCTCTTCAAATCATCGGCCACCCAGGATATCTTGTCTTGCAGGCGAAGGCAGCTCCAGACGTTTTGGAAGGCGTAGTATTCAGGGTTAGACGGATGGAGACTCGCTTTCTTGTCTGTCGCCGAATGATTCAAGGGGATGTCGCTCTTGTGATTGCACAGTTCCTCGATCTCCGACCGGTGAAACTCGGAGCTTCGCGCTTGTGACCGTTGACAAGATGGGAGACTGGGAAGTTTGCTAGTGGATTTATTCATCTGGCCAATGTTGCAGAGCTGCATCTTATGTTATCAGCCTTCGCTTCCTCTTCGCGAGAATTGTTGTTCTATCATTCAGCTATCGCATTTCATTGAAATGCTCTACTGCCGAAAATACCAAATGGAAGAGGTTGTAGATCTGACAGGATCTGACATGTAAACAAAAATGTGAAACAAGTAGCTTCCCGGCAAGGTGAGGAAGCCAACCGACAGGGTTAGAATCAAGAACAAGCCGTGTAAATCCGGTCGCGTTGATATGTACACAGCTTGTTGGGGTCTGACGTGAGTAAATCATGGAAGTTCTGCTGCTCGGGTATTCGCGGTGTCAACGTTCACTTTCTCATGAGACGGAGCAAGCTCCGAAGAAGAATGAACCGTGCCGTAATGGGCGGGTGAATCGGACCACGTTTTATGAGCCATAAAAATGACGAGGCAGTCATCAGGTTACCAGGGATATAAATTCACGGCTGTTTTCTGCCGAGACCGAACATATCCAAAATTCTGCAACTCCTAGCGGCTTCTCGCTGAGAGTAGTCCCAAGGAGAACACAGAGCGATGCATCATGCTTGCATCACTGAACGACATTTCGGAAGTCATTAAATCCGTGGACTGACATTTTGCTCACACAGATCGATTACATAGCCGACATCCTTCCGAGGGAAGGATTAATCCGGCGCAATCTCAGGGAAGGTGAGCTTGGGTTGAATAGTTCAAGCACCTCGGAGCTTGAGAGATCGACTATCAGAACAAGCGAAGTGCAAAAACTTGCTGCTCTTCAGATTACGCTCGCTCTGAAAGAAGACAGCCACCGTGATGTGAGTATTCCTGGATTATGATAGTTGAAGTTTAGCTGAACAGTGGGAAGCAACTGACGTCACGGTTCCCACAGTGTACCGCATCACCGATCAATTCAATTGTGTTCCTGACGTCATTAGTTGACGGAGTCGCACTCTTTGTCTTTCTCGACCGCGTTCTGAGCTTCATGGTACGACAAAAGGCCAAGAGAGACAAAATCCGACATACCGGACTTTTCTCCTCTTGGATGAGTGACCCTTGCCGATTGGAGGCTGCATTAAATTTTCCGGAATCGCCTTGACAACGCTGTCCCGTGGCTGTCACAATGTGACATGTATGACGTAGGGAGTAGCGCTCCACAACTTGATGATGATGCCTGCAGAACTGCTCACCTACGGTCTCCGATCCGTAACTCTTGCGTTACACTTCCAATAGCTTTTTACTCCCTCTACGGCTCCCATTACTCCAATTTCTCTCACTCCACCACTCACCACACGGCAGTAGGATAGCACCACCACTACCTCCACCACTACACGACAACCGCACAGCGCACGATGGGAGGAGACCACAAATGTCCTGTATGCCAGGCGACCTTCACTCGTCCGCAACATGTTGCACGCCACATGCGATCCCGTACGTGCTTTCCTCTGTCTCTCGCGCTTTCACTCGGGGCCCCACATCCACCGAGTCTCGATTCACATCTCCACCCTTTACGCTCCACAATTCGTTATTACGGCTTCCTACCTGGTGCTATTCGCAC